CCCTGGGACCCAAAACCCCCTGGAACCCCCAAAACCCCCTGGAACCCCAAAACCCCCTGGGATCCCAAACCCCCTCATGTCCCAAAAAGTCCTCCTCATAAAGGGGCAGGAAAAGGGGGACCTCGATCTGGGGAGGGGGTCAGGGGTCAGGGGGACCCTAAACCCCACAGAACCCCTGGGACCCCAAAACCCCCTGGAACCCCAAAACCCCCTGGAACCCCAAAATCCCCGTGTCCCAAAATCCCCTGGATCCCAAAACCCCCTCATAAACGGGGCAGGAAAAAGGGGACCCTCGATCTGGGGGGAGGGCAGACACCCCCAAAGCCCCCTAAAGCCCCAGGACCCCCAAAGCCCCCTAAAACCCCCATAACTCCCCCAAAGCCCCAGGACCCCCAAAGCCCCCTTACCGGCTGGTAGGTCTCAGCCCGCACTGGTCGCAGCTGTGAGGTGTGGGTCAGACACCCCAAAGCCCCCCAGGACCCCCATAACTCCCCCAAAGCCCCCAGGACCCCCAAAGCCCCCAGGACCCCATAACTCCCCCAAAGCCCCAGGACCCCCAAAGCCCCCTTACCGGCTGGTAGGTCTCAGCCCGCACTGGTCACAGCTGTAGGTGTGGGTCAGACACCCCTAAAGCCCCATAACTCCCCCAAAGCCCCCAGGACCCCATAACTCCCCAAAGCCCCCAGGACCCCATAACTCCCCCAAAGCCCCCCAGGACCCCCATAACTCCCCCAAAGCCCCCAGGACCCCCAAAGCCCCCTTACCGGCTGGTAGGTCTCAGCCCGCACTGGTCGCAGCTGTAGGTGTGGGTCAGACACCCCCATAACTCCCCCAAAGCCCCCAAAGCCCCCAGGACCCCCATAAGCCCCCAAAGCCCCCAAAGCCCCCTTACCGGCTGGTAGGTCTCAGCCCCGCACTGGTCACAGCTGTAGGTGTGGGTCAGACACCCCATAACCCCTCCCCCAGGAGCCCCCAGGACTCCCCCAAAGCCCCCAGGACCCCCAAGACCCCCAAAGCCCCCTTACCGGCTGGTAGGTCTCAGCCTCGCACTGGTCGCAGCTGTAGGTGTGGGTCAGACACCCCATAACCCCCCAGGACCCCCATAACTCCCCCAAAGCCCCCCAAAGCCCCCAGGACCCCCAAAGCCCCCTTACCGGCTGGTGGGTCTCAGCCCCGCACTGGTCGCAGCTGTAGGTGTGGTCAGACACCCCAAAGCCCCCAGGACCCCCATAACTCCCCCAAAGCCCCCCAGGACCCCCCAAAGCCCCCAGGACCCCCCAAAGCCCCCCTTACCGGCTGGTAGGTCTCAGCCCCGCACTGGTCACAGCTGTAGGTGCCCACCACGAGCAGGGGTCTGACCTCGCTGACCCTCGTGACGACCCCTCTGAGCGTGACGAGTTTGCCGATGGAGCCGGCCCGGAGCTCCCGCACCCCCCGCGGCTTGGAGAGCGCCGGGGCACGGAAATACAGCTCACTGTGGGGGAAAATTGTGTTAAAAATATAAATATAGCTTATTGTGGGGTTAAAAAATATAAATGCAGCTCACTGAGGGGGAAAAAATATAAATACAGGTCATTATTGGGGTAAAAATGGGGTTAAAAATATAAATACAGCGCCGGGGCCCGGAAATACAGCTCACTATGAGGGGAAAATATATAAATACACGTCTTAAAAATATAAATACAGCGCCCGGGGCGCAGAAATACAGCTCACTGGGGGGGGATAAAATATAAATATAGGTTATTGTGGGGGAAAAATGGGGTTAAAAATATAAATACAGCGACGGGGCACGGAAATACAGCTCGCTGTGGGGGAAAAATATAAATACAGCTCACTATTGGGGTAAAAATATATAAATATAGCTTATTGTGGGGGAAAAATGGGGTTAAAAATATAAATACAGCGCCAGGGCCCGGAAATACAGCTCACTGGGGGGGGAAAATTGTGTTAAAAATATAAATACAGCTTATTGTGGGGGTAAAAAATATAAATACAGGTCTTAAAAATATAAATACAGCGCCGGGGTGCGGAAATACAGCTCGCTGAGGGGGAAAAATTGTGTTAAAAATATAAATATAGCCCACTGAGAGGGGAAAATTGTGTTAAAAATATAAATACAGCTCACTATTGGGGTAAAAATATATAAATATAGCTTATTGTGGGGGAAAAATGGGGTTAAAAATATAAATATAGCTTATTGTGAGGAAAAAATGGGGTTAAAAATATAAATATAGCTTATTGTGAGGAAAAAATGGGGTTAAAAATATAAATATAGCTTATTGTGAGGAAAAAATGGGGTAAAAAATAAAAATATAGCTTATTGTGGGGGGAAAAATATAAATACAGCTTATTGTGGGGGTAAAAAATATAAATACAGGTCTTAAAAATATAAATACAGCGCCGGGGTGCGGAAATACAGCTCGCTATGAGGGGGAAAAATTGTGTTAAAAATATAAATATAGCTTATTGTGGGGGAAAAATGGGGTTAAAAATATAAATACAGCGACGGGGCACAGAAAAGAAAAATTGTGTTAAAAATATAAATACAGATCACTATGGGGGGAAAAAATATAAATACAGCTTATTGTGGGGGGAAAAAATGGGGTTAAAAATATAAATACAGCTCATTGTGGGGTTAAAAATACAAATACAGCTCAGGTGGGATTTTGGGGCTGGGAGGGGGTCTGGGGGGGATTCCAGGAGGTGGGAAGAGGTTTGAGGGGGGATTTGGGGGAGATTCAGGAGGAACTGGGGGGGATTTGGGGTCTCCAGGACCCCCACTCACAATCTCCTGAGCAGCTCAGGGGGGTACTGGTTCTGGGGGATTTGGGGGGTTTGGGGGATCTTGGGAGGTATTTGGGGTGGGTTTGGGTCTCCAGGACCCCACTCACAATCTCCTGAGCAGCTCGGGGGTACTGGTTTGGGGGGGGTTTTGGGGGGATTTGGGTGGGTTTGGGGGTATTTTGGGTGGGTTTTGGGGGTATTTGGGGTTTCCAGGACCCCCACTCACAATCTCCTGAGCAGCTCAGGGGGTACTGGTTCTGGGGGGCTTTGGGGGCTCCCCGTCCCGGCCCCGCTGCTCCAGCAGCAGTCGGTGCTCAGAGGTAAACGTCCAGGGGGTCCCGGGGGTCACCTGGGGGTAAGGTTGGGGCATCCAGGACCCCCAAACTAGAGACACCCCAAATCCGAACCTGGGACTCCCAAATCCCACCCTGGGACCCCCACAGTGCTCCAGGTAAACGTCCAGGGGTCCGGGGGTCACCTGGGGGGGTCACAGCGTGGGGGGCTTCAGGACCCCCAAACCAGAGACACCCCAAATCCCACCCTGGGACCCCAAATCACCCTGGGACCCCAGGTAACGCATCCTGGGATCCCAAATCCCACCCTGGGGACCCCGAGATCCCACCCTGGGACCCACCAATCCCACCCTGGGACCCCCAAATCCCACCCTGGGACCCCAAATCCCACCCTGGGACCCCCATGGTGCCCCAGGTAAACGTCCAGGGGTCCGGGGGTCACCTGAGGGGAACAGCAGTGGGGGGCTCAGGATCCCTCCAAACCAGAGACACCCCAAATCCCACCCTGGGACCCCCCACAATCCCACCCTGGGACCCCCAAATCCCACCCTGGGACCCCAAATCCCACCCTGGGACCCCCCCATGGTGCTCCAGGTAAACGTCCAGGGGGTCCCGGGGGGTCACCTGGGGGAGGTCACGCATCAGGGGGGGCTTCAGGACCCCCTAAAGCACCCCAGGACCCCTCCCAAGCCCCCAAAACACCCCAGGACCCCTTGTCACCCCCAAGCCCCCCATTCGGGGGCTGTCCCAACTCTCTGTCCCTGTAGAGGGGCAGCAGCTCTGCACGGCCTCGGTGAGGACCCCCCCCAAATCCCCTGGAACTGCTCCAAACCCCTCAGGAACTGCTCCAAACCCCCCAGGACCCCCAACCCCCTGAACTGCTCCAACCCCAGACCCAAATCCCCTGGAACTGCTCCAAACCCCCAGGACCCCCAGAACCCCCAAATCCCCTGGAACTGCTCCAACCCCCCTCAGGACCCCCCAAATCCCCCTGGAACTGCTCCAAACCCCCAAATCCCCTTTAACTCCTCCAAGCCCCCAGGACCCCCCAGCCCCCAGTCGGGGTCTGTCCCACCTCTGTGTCCCTGTAGAGGGCAGCAGCTCCTGCACGGCCTCGGTGAAGACCCCCAGACCCCCAACTGCTCCAGACCCCCCCAGGACCCCCCCAGCCCCCCAGTCGGGGTCTGTCCCACCTCTGTGTCCCTGTAGAGGGGCAGCAGCTCCTGCACGGCCTCGGTGAAGACCCTGCCCAGCCTGCGGGCGTTCTCGGCCACGGCCTCGGCCAGCTCGGGCTCGTCCTCGGCCACGTCGTCCAGGGCCACCCACAGGGCCACCTGCTCCCGGTGCGCCAGAGCCCTCTGCGGGCACGCAGGCCGCTCAGGGACCCCACAAACGGCTCGGGGGACCCTAAACGGTTAGGGACCCCAAAAACAGGCTCAGGGACCCCAAAATGGGTTGGGGACCCCAGAAATGGGTTGGGGGACCCCAGAAACGGGTTGGGGACCCCCAAAAATGGGTTGGGGACCCCCAAAAATGGGTTGGGGAACCCCACAAACGGGTTGGGGGACCCCAGAAATAAAAGATTTGGGGTTGGGGGGTGACTTGAAGGGGATTTGTGGGGAGTAAAGAGAGGATTAGAGGAGAAGCTGAGGGGTCTGGGGGGGTGGGAGGGGGTCTCTGGGGTCTCTTTAGGGGGTCTCTTTGGGGGTCTCACCAGCTGATCCCGGTATGGGAATTCCTTGTGTCCCTCGGGGCCATCCCGGTAAAATTCCTGCAGGAAACGCTTCGCCCTTCTCTGGGGAACAGGGCCACGAAGGGGTCAGGAATGAGGGGAGTCTCAAATGGGGTCCCACAATGGGGGTCAGGCAAGGGGGTCAGGAATGGGGTCCCACAATGGGGGGGTCAGTGAAGGGGGTCAGGAATGAGGGGGTCCCACAATGGGGGTCAGGAATGGGAGGATCAGGAATGGGGGTCAGGAATGGGGTCCCACAATGGGGGTTGGGAATGGGGGTCCCACAATGGGAGGGTTGGGAATGGGGTCCCATAATGGTGGGGGTCCCGAATGGGGTCCCATAATGGGGATCAGGAATGGGGAATCAGGAATGGGGTCCCACAATGGGGGTCAGGAACAGGGGTTCCCAATGGGGGTGGAGTCAGGAATGGGGATCAGGAATGGGGTCCCACAATGGAGGGGTTAAGAATGGGAGTCCCACGATGGGGGGGTCAGGAATGGGGTTTCCCAATGGGGGATCAGGAACGGGGGTCCCACAATGGGGGTTCAGGAAAGGGTTCCCAGTGGGGGGTCCCACAATGGGCGTCCCACAATGGGGATCAGGAAAGGGGGTCCACAATGGGGGTCCCACAATGGGGATCGGGAATGGGGGATTGGGAATGGGGGTCCCACAATGGGGGTCCTGAATGGGGGTCAGGACAGTGGGAGCAGGAATCGGGGTTCCCAATGGGGGAGTCAGGAATGGGGGTCTCACAATGGGGGAGCAGGAATGGGGGTTCCTCAATGCGGGGGGATCAGGAATGGGGGTCTCACAATGGGGGATCAGGAATGGGGGGGTCAGGAGTGAGGGATCCAAATGGGGGATCAGGAATGGGGGTCCACAATGGGGTTTCCCAATGGGGGGTCAGGAATAGGGGTGCCACAATAGGGGATCAGGAAAGGGGGTTCCCCAATGAGGGGGTCCCACAATGGGGGGGTCCCGGTGCCGTGAGGGGGGTCCCGGTATCGATAACCGGGGAATGGCCGGTACCTTTATCGCTGTCGTAGTCACGGGGGGCCATGTCGGGGAGGGGGCGGGGTGTGGGGGCGGTTCCCAAAGGCTCTGTCGCGATTCCCGGTCGCGATTCCCGGTCGCGATTCCCGATCGCGATTCACGAGCGCGCCGTTCCCGCCGCCGCCGCCTCACGGAGAAGTGGCGCGAAAACCTCGCCCACGTGACCTCCGCCGGCCAATCAGCCGCCAGCGCCCGCCCACCCACCGGGCGGGGGGGGCGGAACAGCCAATCAGAGCAGGGAGGGCCGCGGCGCCGGCCAATGGAGAGGCGCGGGGGGGACCCACGTGGGGCGAGGCGGTGCCCGCGGTGGGCGGGGCCGGCGCGCGGCGGCGGCGGGAACCGGGCGAGGTTCGGGGGGCCCGGAAGGGACGAGGCCCCGCCCCCTCTTAAAGGGGCCGCGACCCCCGGGGAACAGGGGGCTTGAGGGGCTTGGGGGGCCGGGGAGGGGTCGGAGGGGCCGGGGAGGGGTCGAGGAGGGGCTCAGGGCGATGCGCTTGGAGGGGCTGGGGGTTGGAGGGGCTGGGAGGGACTGAGGGGGAGGGGCCTGGGGGGCCCTCAGTTTTTGGGGGTTTGGGGGTTTTGGGGGTCTTGAGGGGTCAGGGAGGGCTCAGGGCTTTGGGGTTGGAGGGGCTGGGGGTTCAGGGGTTTCGGGGGTCTCGAGGGGTCGGGAGGGGCTGAGGGTGAGGGTGGGGGGGCTCGGTTTTGGGGGGCTCAGAGTGGGGTCCTGGGAGGGATCGAGGGGGCTGGGGGTCTAGGGGCTCTGAGGGGGTCAGGGAGTCTGGGGGTTCAGGGCTCTGGGGAGCTCAGGGATCTGGGGGTCTCAGTTTTGGGGGTCTCTGGGTCTGGGGGGTCTCAGGAGGGGTTTTGGGGTCCCCTGACCCCCTTTGCCGCCCCCAGATGCTCTCCCACTTCTTCATCCTCAGCTCCAAGGGGACCCCTGATCCACAGGGACTGTATCCCCAAAATCCCCCAAAATCCCCCCAAATTAGGGACCCCCTCCTGATCCACAGGGACTGTATCCCCCAAAATCCCCCAAAATCCCCCCCCAAATTAGGGACCCCCCCTGATCCACAGGGACTGTATCCCCAAAATCCCCAAAATCCCCCCAAATTAGGGACCCCATCCCTGATCCACAGGGACTGTATCCCCAAAATACCCCCAAAATCCCCCCCAAATTAGGGACCCCTCCTGATCCACAGGGACTGGATCCCCCAAAATCCCCTCCCCAAATTAGGGACCCCTCCCTGATCCACAGGGACTGGATCCGCCCAAGGTCCCCTCCCCAATTAGGATCCCTCCTGATTTGGGGACTGGATCCCCAAAATCCCCCTCCCCAAATTTGGGGACCCCTCAGACCCTCCCCACCCCCTCAAATCCTCCCAAATTTCCTTAACCCCCCAAAAAGTCCGGGGACCCCCGCGCCCCCGTGACGTCACCGACGCCTTTAGCGACCCCAGGGACCCCCAAACCCCTAAATCCCTCAAATCCCTCCCAAACCCCCCAAATCCCCCCAAATTTCCTTAACCCCCAAAAGTCTGGGGACTCCCCGCGCCCCCGTGACGTCACCGACGCGTTTTACCGGGGTGACCTCGGTGCGGGGAGCAGACCCCGTGTTTATGGTAATTGGGGATTTTGGCGGGGTTTTGGGGGTTTGAGTAGTTTCAGCTCTCGTGACCCCCGACCCCCCAGAGCGCGGGGGCTGCACTTGTGCACGTCAGGCACGGGGGCTCTTCTTTGAGGCCACCGCGGAGGCTCGGCCTCGCCCTTCACCCTCGTCGAGTTCCTCAACAGGTCCGGGGCTCTGGGGATCTGGGGGCTTTGGGGGCTTTGGGGGTTGAGGGTTTGGGGGATCCTGGGGGCTTTGGGAGGGTTTTGGAAGGGTTTGGAGGCTTTGAGTTTGGGAGGGCTTTGGGGGCTTTGGGGGGATTTGGGAGGGCTTGGGGGTTTGGGGGCTTTGGGGGTTGGGAGGGTTTGGGGGATTTGGGGGCTTTGAGGGGTTTGGGAGGGCTTTGGGAGGGGCTTTGGGAGGAGGGTTTTGGGTGGCTGTGGGCTTGAGGGGTTCTGAAGGAGGAGATTTGGGAGGAGGCTTTGGGAGGAGCTTTGGGGGGCTTTGGGGCCAGGGCCTTTGGGAGGGCTTTGAGGGGTTGGGAGGGTTTTGGGAGAGGGTTTTGGGGTCCGGTGGGTTTGAGGGGCCCTGAAAAGGTCAGGGGAGAGATCTTGGTGAGGGGGCTCTGGGGGCTCCTTAGGGGGCTTTGGGAGGTCCCTGAGGGGCTTTGAGGTTTTTAGGGGGTTTGGGGTGACAAACTCCCCATGTCCCCCCAACTGGTGAAGGGGTCTGGGGGTGTTTTGGGGGTCTGAGGGGTCTGGAGGGTCTGGGGTGTTTGGGGGTCTGGGGTTATTTTGGGGTTGTTTTGGGGGTCTGGGTATGTTTTGGGCGGTTTTCAGTGATTTTTAAAGGCAATTTTGAGGGGGTTTGGTGGATTTTTTGGGCGATTTTGGGTTTTTTTTGGATTCTGGGTATTTTTTTTGGATTTGGGGGATTTTGGGGGGGGTTTTGGGGGGTGACAGAGCCCCCCCTGCCCCCCCCCAGGCTGGTGACCCTGCTGAGGGATTTCTGTGGCCCCCTGAGCGAGAAAAATGTGGGGCTGAACCTGGGGCTGGTGTGTGAGCTCCTGGAGGAGACCCTGGTGGGGCTGGGGGCACTGGGAGGGACTGGGAGGCACTGGGAGGGGACTGGGAGGGGACTGGGAGGGGACTGGGAGGGACTGGGAGGGGACTGGGAGACTGGAGATTTTTGGGGTCACACTGGGGATCCTGGGGTCACTTTGGGGGTGGTTTTGGGGGGTTCTGAGTCCCATTTGGGTGGTCCTGGGTTCATTTTGGGGTGGGTTTGGGGTCATTTTGGGTTTATTTTGGGGGTTTTTGTGTCCCCCCTCCAGGATTTCAGGCACATCCAGACCACGACCCCCTCGGGGCTGCATTTTGGGAGGTTCTGGGTTCATTTTGGGGTGGTTTTGGGGTCATTTTGAGTTCATTTTGGGTTCATTTTGGGGGTTTTTGTGTCCCGCCCCCCAGGATTTTGGGTACATCCAGACCATGACCCCCTTGGGGCTGCATTTTGGGGGTCCTGGGTTCATTTTGGGGTGGGTTTGAGGGGGTTCATTTTGTGTTTATTTTGGGGGTTTTTGTGTCCCCCCCCAGGATTTCGGGCACATCCAGACCACAACCCCCTCAGGGCTGCATTTTGGGGTCCTGGGTTCATTTTGGGGGATTCTGGGTTCATTTTGGGGTGTTTTTGAGGGGGTTCTGTGTTTATTTTGGGTTTTTTTGTGTCCCCCCCCCAGGATTTCGGGCACATCCAGACCACGACCCCCTTGGGGCTGCATTTTGGGGGTCCTGGGTTCATTTTGGGGTGGGTTTGGGGTCATTTTGGGCTCGTTTTGGGGTCATTTTGAGTTCATTTTGGGTTCATTTTGGGTGTTTTTGTGTCCCCCCCCCAGGATTTCGGGCACATCCAGACCACGACCCCCGAGGTTCTGAGGAGCCTCGTGCAGGCCCAGCCCGAGACCCCCAAACCCTTCAACCTCCTGGACCTGGGCTCTGTGGGGCTGGTGGGGACCCCAGAACGCTGCGGGGGCTGGGGGGGTCCTGGGGTCTGGGGTCCTGGGGGTCCTGGGGGTCCTGGGGGAGCTGGGAGGTTTAGGGGGATTTGGGGTCTTGGGGAGGATTTGGGGGTTTTGGGGAGGATTTGGGGGAGTTGGGAGGGTTTGGGGGTCTCTGGGGGTTTTGGGGAGGTCTCTGGGGGCTGTTGGGGGTCCTGGAAAGGTTTGGGGGTCTGGGGCTTTGGGAGTCTCTGGAGGTTTTGGAGGTCTCTGGAGGTTAGGGGTCTGGGGCTCTGGGAGGGTTTGGGGTCTCCAGGGGGTCCTGGGAGTTAGTATCTGGGGGTTCCTGGAGGGTTTGGGGTCTCTGGAGTGTTTTGGGGGTCTCTGAGGGTCTCTTCCCCCCAAAATGTCCCTTTTCCCCCTCCGTTCCAGTTCGGGGCAGAGACGCAGCAGAGCCGGGTGGTCCTGGCGGCGGCCGCCAGACCCTCCCCTGCGGGGACCAGGTGGGACCCCTGAGACCCCAGGACCCTCAATATCCCCTGTCCCAGGACCCCCGAGACCCCCGGACCCCCAAACATCCCCCCCATCTCAGGACTCCCAAACCCCCTCCCAAACCTCCTGGGACCCCCAAATGCCACAAGACCCCCGGACCCCAATGTCCCCCACCATCCCAGGGACCCCCAAAACCCCCGGGAGACCCCCAACCCCCCTCCCCAACCTGGGACCCCCAAAATGCCACAAGACCCCCCAGGATCCCCCCAATGTCCCCCCCATCCCAGGAACCCCCAAAACCCCCTGGGGACCCCAAATATCCCCATCCTGGGACCCCAAAATCCCTGGGGACCCCTAAATATCCCCTGGGACCCCCAAATATCCCCCATCCGGGACCCCCAAAACCCCAGGGACCCCAAATATCCCGGGACCCCCAAATATCCCCTGGGACCTCCAAATATGCCCCCATCCCAGGACCCCCAAATATCCCCATCCCAGGAACCCCAAAACCCTGGACCCAAATATCCCCGGACCCCAAAACCCCTCGGGACCCAAATATTCCCGGACCCCAAATATCCTCCCATCCCAGGGACCCCAAATATCCCCTCATCCGGACCCCAAATCTCCCCAGGACCTAAACCCCCGGGACCCCAAATATCCTGGACCCCAACCTCCTGGACCCCAACCCCCTAAAATCCTCAAGCCCCCAACCCACTCAGGTCCCCCCACCTCCCCGAGTGCCCCAAGCCCCTCTCGGACTCCCAGGACCCCTAGACCCCCTCAGACCCCCAAATCCCCCAAACCCCCAAAACCCCCTGGACCCCCGTGTCCCCCCCAGCCTTCCAAGCCCGAGGTTTTCATCGATCGTCGTGGAGCGGCTCTCGGTCGTCATCGCCTCCAACGTGAGCCAAAAACCCCCAAAAACCCCCAAAAACCCCCAAAACCCCCAAAACCCCCCGGAGCCTGCCCGGCCCCCCGCTGAGAGGAGCCCCCTGTGCCCAGGGACCCCCTGAGGGTCGATGTGCAGGGACAGATCCGGCTCAAGAGCTTCCTGCCCCCGGGAGGAGGTGACGGGGCCCCAAATGGGAGGGCCCAAAATGGGGAGGGGGACACAAAATGGGGGAAGGACCCCAAAATGGGAGGAACCCAAAATGAGGGGGACCCTAAAATGGGGAGGGGGACACAAAAATGGGAGGGACTCCAAAAATGAGGGGGACACCAAAATGGGAGGGGGACCCCAAAAATGAGGGAGGACCCTAAAAATGGGAGGGGGACCCCAAAACAGGGGTAGGGACCCCAAAATGGGGGAACCCCAAAAATGGGGAGAGGGACCCCAAAAACAGGGAGGGGGACCCCAAAAATGGGGAGGGGGACCCCAAAATGGGGGCGACCCCAAAAGGAGGGAGGGACCCCAAAATGGAGGAGGGACCTCAAAACGGGGGAGGGGGACCCAAAATGGGGAGGGCCCCTAAAATGGGGGAGTGACCCCAAAATGGGGAGGAGGACCCCAAAATGGGGAGGGGACCCTAAAATGGGGGAGGGACCCTGAAACGGGGAGGGGGACCCCAAAAATGGGGGAGGGACCCTAAAATGGAGGGATCCCAAAATTGGGAGGGGGACCCCAAAATGAGGGGCGGACCCCAAAAGGAGGGAGGGACCCCAAAATGGGGGAGGGACCTCAAAACTGGGGGAGGGGGACCCAAAATGGGGGAGGGCCCCAAAATGGGGAGAGTGACCCCAAAAATGGGGAGAGGGACCCCAAAAATGGGAGGGGAAAGGGGTTTGGGGGACCCCCAAATCGGGAGGGCTAAAGGATTTTGGGGGAATTGAGGGTTTTTGGGGGCCTGGAGGGATTTCTGGGGGTTAAAGGGGATTTTGGGGAGATTTGAGGATTTGGGGATTTTAGGGGTTAAAAAAGTCCTTGGGGGGAAGGGGTTGAGGGGAAGGGAAGGGTTTTGGGGGCAGGGGAATTTGGGGATCTGGAAGGATTTGAGGGGGTTTGAAGGGTTTTGGGGTGGGGGATCTGGAAGGATTTGGGGGTTTTAGGGCCTGGGGGGTTTGGGGACCCCCGGGTGACCCCAAATTGTCCCTTTTCCCCCCCAGAGATGAGGGTGGGGCTGACAGAGGAGTTCTGTGTGGGGAAGTCGGAGCTGAGGGGTGAGACCCCCCAAATCCCCCCAACTTCCCCCAAATCCCCCTCCCAAATTCCCCTCCCCAAATTCCCCCCTCCCCAAATTCCCTCCCCCAAATCCCCCTCCAAATCCCTCCCAAATCCCCCTCCCCCAAATCCAGGGAGGGGGGACACCCGGACTGGACCCCTGGACACCCAAAAACCTCCCCAAAATCCTCCCTGGAACCCCCAAACCCAGCCCAGGCCCCCAAAACCACCCCAAACCCTCCCAAATTCCCCCAGATCCCTCCAAATCCCCTGAAATCCCCTGAGATCCCCCCAAAATCCCTTCAAATTCCTCCCAGAGCCTCCCAAAATCCTCCCAGATCCCTTCAAATTCCTCCCAAAATCCCTCCAAAATCCTCCCAAACCCCCCCAAATCCCTCCAAATCCCCCCAAAATCCCCCCAAATCCCTTCAAATTCCTCCCAAATTCCTCCCAAATCCCCCCAAAATCCTCCCAAATCCCCCCAAAATCCTCCCAAATCCCTTCAAATCCGCCAAAATCCCCTGAAATCCCCCCAAAATCCCCCTAAAATCCCCCCAAATCCCCCCAAAATCCTCCCAAAATCACCTCAAATTCCTCCCAAATCCCTTCAAATTCCTCCCAAATCCCCCCAAATTCCCTCCAAATCCCTTCAAATTCCTCCCAAATTCCTCCCAAATCCCCCCAAATCCCCTCAAATTCCTCCCAAATCCCTCAAATTCCTCCCTAATCCTCAAATTCCCCCAAATCCCCGAAATCCCCTGAAATCCCCAAATCCCCTCAAATTCCTCCCAAATCCTCCCAAATCCTCCCAATCCTCCCAAACCCCCTGTCCGGCAGGGTACGGGACCCCGGTGCGGGTGGACGAGTGTTCCTTCCACAGCTCCATCAAACTCGACGAGTTCGGCTCGGGAGGGTCCTCAGGGTCACCCCACCCCGGAGAGGTCGGGGGCAAAAAAGGGGCTGGGGGCAAAAAGGGGCTGGGGGCTGGAAAGGGCTGGGGGTCAAAAAGGGGCTGGGGGGCAGAAAAGGGGCTGGGAGGGGTTAAAAGGGGAGTGTCACAGAGGTTTTGGGGGGCTAAAGGGACTTGGAGGAGGTTTTGGGGGATCAGAGGAGGGGGCTTGGGGGTTTAGAAGGGCTCTGGGGGGCTGGATAAGGGGCTTTGGGGCATTTGAAGGGGTTAAGGTGATTTTGGGGTTTTGGGGGGGATTATAAGGGTGGAGTTTGGGACAGGGTATTTTGGGGGCTTAAATGGGGATTTTGGGGGATTTTGGGGAATTAAAGGGGTTTTGGGGTTTTGGGGTGATTTTTGGGGATTAAGGGGATTTTTGGGGGATTAAGGGGTTTTTGGGGGATTTGAAGGAGTTTTTGGGGGTATGAAGGGGTTTTTGGGGGATGAAGGGTTTTTGGGGATGGGGAAGATGTGATGAAAGGGTTTGGGGATGAAGGATTTTGGGGGATGAAGGGGTTTTGGGAGGATTTTGAAGGGTATTTTGGGGGGATGAAGAGGTTTTTTTGGGGGGATGAAGGGGTTTTTTGGGGGATGAAGGGGTTTTTTTGGGGGATGAAGGGGTTTTTTTGGGGGATGAAGGGGTTTTTTTGGGGGATGAAGGGGTTTTTTGGGGGATGAAGGGGTTTTTTGGGGGGATGAAGGGGTTTTTTGGGGGGGATGAAGGGTTTTTTTCCCCGCAGATGACGCTGATGCAGTACCAGGTGGTCGATGAAATTCCAGCCCCGCTCCCCTTCCGCCTCTTCCCCACCCTGGAAAAAGACCCCGGGGGCAGGTGGGGACCCCAGAACTGGGGGGAGGGGTCTTTGGGGGGCTTTATCCCCATTTTTTGGGGGTTTTGCCTCGATTTTTGGGGCCTTTCACCCCATTTTTGGGGGGGTCTCCCCCCATTTCCCTCCCCAGGATCCGCCTGTACCTGAAGCTCCGCTGTGACCTCCCCCCAAAAAGGTGGGGTCTGGGGGGGTCTTTGGGGGTCTTTGGGTCTGGGGAGGGAGTTTGGGGTCTGGGGTGCCCCAGAACCCCCAAAAATCTCCTCCCCAAATTGCAGCCAAGCCTTGAATGTGCGGCTGCAGCTCCCGGTGCCCAAGGGGGTCACCAGGTCAGTCTGGGGGATTTGGGTGGCTCTGAGGGGGATTTTGGGGGCTCTGAGGGGGATTTGGGGGTTGCAGAGGGGTCTGGGGTGGATTTGGGGGAACTGGGACAGGAATTTGGGGCTCCCAGGAGGCTGAACCCCAAATTTAGCCCCCAGGCTGAACGAGGAGCTTGACTGGGTGGGTTTTGGGACTGGGGGGGTTGGGGGTTCAGGGGAGTTTTGGGGTCCAGGGTGGTGGTGTGACCCCCAAATTTGTCCCCCCAGCCTGAGCCAGGAGCTGAGCAGCCCTGACCAGGTGGCCGAGCTGGATTTGGGCACCAAAGCATCCGCTGGAAATCCCCAAATTCCAGGGGGTCCCAACTTTCCGCCCTCTTCAAGGTGAGACCCCCAAAAAAACAAACCTCCCCAAAAAATTCACCCCACAGCCCCAAAATTCACTCCCAGACCCCTCCAAAAACCCCCAGACCCCTCCAAAAACCCCCAGACCCCCAAACCCTTCCAAACCCACCCAAAACTGTCCCAAATCCCCCCGAGAGCTCCAAATCCCCCAATATCCCAAATCCCCCAAAATTCCCCAAATATCCCCCAAATCCCAAACCCCCCAATGTCCCCCCAGCTGGAGGTGCCGTCCCTGTCCCCGGGGTGGCCCCTGGAGGTGGGTCCTGCCCACGCCTCGTTCGAGCTGCCGGCCCAGACGTGCTCCGGGCTCCGCGTGCGCTTCGTGCGGCTCTCGGGGCCCCCCGGGGCCCCCCCAGCCCAGCGCTGGGTTCGGTACCTCACCCACAGCGACTCCTACGTGCTCAGGATCTGAGGGGGACCCCCCAGAACGCCCCAAAATGCCCCAGAATTCACCCCAAATTCGCCCCCGAAACACAGGGGTTTGTGTTTTAACTTTGGGGTGAAAACGGCACTAAATGGGAAAAAAACCCCGTTGAGTTTTTGGTGTTTGTTCGACAGAGGGGCCTGCAAGGAGAAAGGGGGGGTGGGAGCCCCAAAATCCCCAAATCCTCCCCCCCCCCAAAAAAGATAAAACTCCCCCCAAAAAATACAACCCCCTCTCCCCAAACTCCTCCTTTTCCAACCCTTTTATGGAAACCCCAACCCCCACCCCAACAAACCTGGGGGTCCCCAACCCCAAACTGGGGGTCCCCAACCCCAAATTGAGGATCCCAAACCCCAAATTGGGGCTCTCAAACCCCAAATTGAGGATCCCAACCCCAAAATGGGGATCCCAAACCCCAAACTGAGGATCCCAAACCCCAAAATGGGGCTCCCAACCCCCCCCCCCCAAACAAAACACCCCCAAACTCCTCCTTTTCCAACCCTTTTATTGAAACCCCAAAGCCCCCCCACAAACTTGGGGGTCCCCAACCCCAAACTGGGGATCCCCAACCCCAAATTGAGGATCCCAAACCCCCCAAACAAAACACCCCAAACTCCTCCTTTCCAACCCTTTTATTGAAGCTCCTCCCCCAACCCGGGGCTGGGGGTGGGTCTGAGGTCTCTGCCCCCTCCCCAGAGCCCCAACCCGGGTCTAGGGGGTGGGTCTGGGGTCTCTCACCTCTCACCCCCCCCCAGCCCCCCAAAGCGGGTCTGGGGGGTGGGTTTGGGGTCTCTCTCCCCCTCCCAAAGTGGGTCTGGGGGGTGGATTTGGGGTCTCTCTCCCCCTCCCAAAGCGGGTCTGGGGGGTGGGTTTGGGGTCTCTCCCCCCCCCAAAGCAGGGCTGGGGGAGGTTTTGGAGTCTCTCCCCCAAAGCAGGTCTGGGGGGTTGTTTGGGGTCTCCCCCCCCAGGCAGGTCTAGGGAGTGGGTTTGGGGTCTCTCCCCTCCCCAAAGCGGGTCTAGGGGGTTGTTTGGGGTCTCTCCCCTCTCCCAAAGCAGCTCTGGGGGGTTGTTTGGGGTCTCTCCCCCCCCTCCCAAAGCGAGTCTGGGGGGTTGTTTGGGGTCTCTCCCCCTCCCAAAGCAGGTCTGGGGGGTTGTTTGGGGTCTCTATCCCCCAAAGCGAGTCTGGGGGTTGTTTGGGTCTCTCCCCTCCCCAAAGCGGGTCTGGGGGGTTGTTTAGGGTCTCCCCCCCCCCAAAGCAGCTCTGGGGGGTTGTTTGGGGTCTCTCCCCCCCCCAAAGCGGGTCTGGGGGAGGTTTTGGGGTCTCCCCCTCCCCTCAGAAGAAGAGCCCCCGCATGCGGCGCCCCAGGCCCTGCCGGTCGTAGAGGACGTTGAATTTGTTCACGAACTGGTTCATGGTGTTGCAGGTCTTGGTGATGGTGCCCAGGTAGGCCATGAGCCCCACGTCGTTGCATTGCTGGGGGGGGGTTTAGGGATTTTGGGGACCCCCCAAAGATCCAGGAATGCCCCCAGATTTGGGGTTTTTAACCCCCAAAAAACCCTCAGGTCGTAGCAGCGCGTTTGGAACTCGAGCGGTCCCCTGGGGGGGTCCCAAAACCCCCCCAAAAAATCAACAAAACCCCCCCAAGATTTCAGGGACCCTTCAGGGATTTTGGGGCCCCCCCCCAGAGGTTCGGGGGGAGCCCAAATTGGGGGTTTTTTCCCCCCAAAACTCACGTCATAGAAGTCGGTTTTGAACTTGTCTGTGCTGAGCACGGGCAGGCAGTGGCAGAGCGCGCAGGCCTCGCGCAGGATCTCGTGGTTGAAAGGCACCTCCCCTGCGGCCCCCCCAAAATTTGGGGGGTCAGGGACACCCCCCGGACCCGCCTCAGGTCGGGGGGAAGGTCCCAAAACCCCCCAAAACCCCAAAATTTGGGTGGGACCCCCCAAAATTCAGCCCAACCCCCAAAAACCACCCCCGGCCCTGAATATTCCTCGTTCTTTATTCAGGTGGAAAACACCTCAAAATTGGGGAGGGTTTCACCCAAAATGAGGGTCAGGGAGCACCCCAAACCCGGCTCAGTTCAGGGGAGTCCCCAAAACCCAAAGAGACCCCCCAAAATTTGGGTGGGATCCCCCCAAAATCGCACCCAACCCCCCCCAAACTCCTCCCGCTCCTCATCCCTAATTGGGGATGATTGAAATTTGGGGGTCCCCCCAAAAGTGGGGGTCGAGGGGGGTTTTGGGGACCCCGGGGAAGATTTGGGGACCCCCAAAAAGGCTCGAGGACCCCCCAAAAAGGCTGGAGGACCCCCCCAAAACCACTCACCGGCCTCGGCGGCGCGGACGTACTCGAGGATGAGGCGCACGCGGCTGTGCAGCATCTTGATGGCGCTGTGCTGGGCTATCAGGTGCTCTGCCACTGGGGGGGGATACAGGGGGGGCTTGGGGAGACCCCACAGAGACCCCCCGGGACCCCCCTGAACCACCCCAAAAAAAACCCCCAAGGTCCCACGACCCTCAGAGACCCCAAAAACCCCCCCCGGGCTGTGCTGGGCTCTGAGGGGGCTGAACCAAATTTGGGCCCAAAATAGCCCCAAATCCCCCCAGAATCCCAATATCCCAAATCCCCCAAATGTCCCAACCCCCCAAACCCCCAAATCCCCCCAATCCCCCAAATCCCCCAGATCCCCCAACCCCACCGGTGCTGCTTCTCGCCGCCGCGGTCGCCGTCATCCTGGCCACGTGGTCCACCCCGATCCTCTCGGCCTCCTCGGTGGCCAAGGTGTAGAGCAGCTCTGCAAACAGCATCGTGGCCTGGGGGTCAGAGGGTCAGGGGACTCCCAAATTCTGGGGATGCCCCCCAAAAAGAAAAAAACCCCAAAAATCGGCCCTGAAATCCCCGAATGGCGGCCGAGTCAAAGGGCCAAAATCCCCCAGGGGCGTCCCTGAGACCCCCCAGACCTGAGGGACCCCCAAATTGTGGAACCCCCCAGACCTCCCAAAAGCCCCCAGGACCCTCCAAATTCCCCCAAGCCCCCAGGACCCCCAAGCCCCCAGGACCCCCAAGGCCCCGGTACCTCCCCGTTGATGATGTCGATGACGGACTCGAAGACGCTCACGGGGAGCTGGGGATGGGGGGGGAGAAAAAACGTTTTGGGGGGTCCCAAAACCCCTGGGGGTCTGAGGAGCCCCCGAATCTCTGGACCCCCCAAAAAACCCCCAGAGACCCCCCCAGAAACTCACATCAGTGTGTTTGGTCATGGGGTTGAGCTTCAGGAACAGGGGGCTCTCGATGATCTCACACACCTGGGGGGGGGGATTTGGGGTCAGGGACCCCCCAAAATAAACTGAAACCCCCCAAAAACAACCTGGGACCCCCCAAAACCAACCTGGGACCCCCCAAAATAACGTGAGAGGCCCCCCGTCCCCCTGACCTGTTTGTGCACGTGGATGTCGGCGGGCTCGGGGGGCCCCCCCGTCGTGTACCAGCCCAGGAACTCCAGGTCCTTGAACACCTGCTTGACTTTTGGGGGGGAAAAGGGGGGGGTCACCCCGAAATTGGGACCCCCCTCAAACCCCCAAAGAGCCCAGGACCTCCCCACCAAAAAAATTCGGGATGGTCAGGAACCCCCCACAAACCCAGGAGAGCCCCAAAACCTCTCCAAGACCCCCCAAAACCTCCCCAAGACTCCTCCAAAAACCTCCCCAAGATGCCCCAAAATCCTCTCAAATCTCCCCCAAATCTCCTCAAGACCCCCCAAACCCCCTCAAATCCCCCCCAAATCTCCTCAAGACCCCCCAAACCCCTCAAATCCCCCAAATCTCCTCAAGACCCCCAAACCCCCTCAAATCCCCCAGATCCCTTTTTAACCCCCAGACCCCCAAGATTTGACCCCAGGGACCCTCCAAAGCCCCAGGGACCCCCAAAGCCCTCACACTGCTCCTCCCTTGGTGTAGTAAATACTCCTTGTCGATGAGCAGCTGCCCCCCCAGACCCCAAAACCCTCAAGACCCCCAAATTCTCCCCCAAACCCCCAGGGACCCCCAAATCCCCCAAGCCCTCACACTGCTCCTCCTTGGTGTGGTAGTACTCCTTGTCGATGAGCAGCTGCCCCCAGACCCAAAACCCTCAAACCCCCAGGGACCCCCAAATCCCCAGGGATCCCCAAATCCCCCAAAACCCCCAGGGACCCCAAATCCAACCCCCAGGGACCCCCATCCCTCACACTGCTCCTCCTTGGTGTAGTAAATACTCCTTGTCGATGAGCAGCTGCCCCCCAGACCCCAAAACCCCTCAAACCCCCAAATTCCCAGCCCCTGACCACCCAAACCCCCAGGACCCACCCCAAATCCCCCCAAAGCCCTCACACTGCTCCTCCTTGGTGTAGTAGTACTCCTTGTCGATGAGCAGCTGCTCCCCAGACCCCAAACCCCTTCAAACCCCCCAGGACCCCCCAAATCCCCAGGATCCCATCCCCCAAACCCTCAGGGACCCCCCAAATCCCCCAGGGACCCCCATCCCCTCACACTGCTCCTCCTTGGTGTAGTAGTGCTCCTTGTCGATGAGCAGCTGCCTAGGGCACAAGGGCCCAAAGCCCTCTCCATCCCCTCTGTGCCCCCAAATCCCCCAAACCCCAGGGACCCCCAAACCCTGCCAAATCCCCCATCCCCTCACCTGCTCCTCCTTTTGGTGTGGTAGTACTCCTTGTCGATGAGCAGCTGCCCCCGCCGTGGGACAGCAGCTCGAAGGAATTCATCACCTCGATGTTCCGGCCCTCCTGGCGCCCGATCAGCGCCCGATCACTGCGGGGAAATTGGGCATTTTGGGGGTTTAGGGCATTTGGGGGGTTAGGGTATTTTGGGGGGGGTTTAGGGTATTTTGGGGGGGTCTGGGGCATTTTGGAGGGTCTGGGGAGGTTTGGGGGTTCCAGAATGTTTAGGGGGGGTCTGGGAGTGGTTTTGGGGTGGTTTGGGCTGTATTTTGGGTTGTATTTTGGGGCGGTTCAGGGCAGTTTTGGGCTCTCACCTCGGCCGTTCCTGCCCTCCTGGGAGCGCAGGGGGATTTGGGGGTCCCAGGGGGTACTTTTGGGGTGGTTTTCGGGGTGATTTCAGGGTATTCTGGGCTGTATTTTGGGGTGATTTGGGGGTGATTTGGGGGTGATTTTTGGGGTATTTTGAGGGTGATTTTTGGGGTATTTTGGGGGTGATTTTTGGTGTGTTTTGGGGGTGATTGTGGGGGGAATTTTGGGGTGATTTTTGAGGTGTTTTGGGGGTGATTTTTGGGGTGATTTTCCGGGTGATTTCAGGGTATTTTGGGCTGTATTTTGGGGCAGTTCAGGGCTCTCACCTTGGCCGTTCCTGCCCTCCTGGGAGCACAGGTGGATTTGGGGGTCCCAGGGGGTTTTTTTGGGGGGATTTTGGGGGGTATTTTGGGGGTGATTTTTGGGGTGATTTCTGGGGTATTTTCAGGCTAATTTTCCCGGTGATCTGAGGGTATTTTGGGCTGTATTTTGGGGTGGTTCAGGGCGGTTTTGGGGTCTCACCTTGGCCGTTCCTGCCCTCCTGGGAGCGCAGGGGGATTTGGGGGTCCCAGGGGGTATTTCTGGGGTGGTTTTCGGGGTATTTTGAGGGTGATTTTTGGGGTATTTTGGGGGTGATTTTTGGGGTGTTTTGGGGGTGATTTTTGGGATGATTTTTGGGGTAATTTTCTGGATGATTCCAGTGTATTTTGGGCTGTATTTTGGGCTGTATTTTGGGGTGATTTGGGGTCTCACCTTGGCCGTTCCTGCCCTCCTGGGAGCGCAGGTGGATCTGGGGGGTCCCAGGGAGTTTTTTTGGGGGGGATTTTTGGGGTATTTTCAGGGTGATTTTCCCGGTGATCTGAGGGTATTTTGGGCTGTATTTTGGGGCGGTTCAGGGAGGTTTTGGGGTCTCACCTTGGCCGTTCCTGCCCTCCTGGGAGCGCAGGCGGATCTGGGGGGTCCCAGGGGGTTTTTTTGAGGGGATTTTGGGGGTGATTTTCAGGGTATTTTAGGGGTATTTTCAGGGTGATTTTCTGGATGATTTCAGGGTATTTTGGGCTGTATTTTGGGGCGGTTCAGGGCGGTTTTGGGGTCTCACCTTGGCCGTTCCTGCCCTCCTGGGAGCGCAGGCGGATCCAGTGGTCGGAGATGTTGAGGATGACGAGGGGGTGAAGGGCCACGGACACGCTGCCCGTGACCCCCCCCGCCATCACCTGGGGGGCTCCTGGGGGGCAAAGCACACCTGAGGGGGCGGGGCCACTGCGGAGGGGGCGGGGTCAATGCAAATTTAGCGTGGAATAATGGGCGTGGTTAACCGGAGAGGGGCGTGGCCACCGCCAAAATGTTATTCCTGGGGTCCTTCGCAATTTTATTCCCTGCGTTCCCCCCTCTCTTTACCTGCCCCATCCACCTCCATCCCACCGCTATTCCCGGGGTTATTCCAAGTGTTATTCCCGTTCGCCCCCCGGGCATTCCCAATGTTATTCCCGGGGTCGTTCCCAACGTTATTCCTTGTATCCCACCCCCTCACTCCCTGCCCCATCCCCCCCCCATTATTCCCGCTGTTATTCCCAGGTTTATCCCCTGGATTCCTCCCCCTCTTCACCTGCCCCATCCGCCTCCATCCCGCCGCTACTCCCGGGGCCGTTGGCGCTCCCCCCGCCCGTTATTCCCAGGGATCGCTGCCGGGGCCATTCCCGTCCCTCACCCGCGCCATCCACCTCCATGCCGCCGTTGTTCCCGGCGCTGTTCCCGGCGTTATTCCCGCCGTTGTTGCCGCTTCCCCCGCCCGGAGCCGCCGCCGCCATCTTGGACCCTCAGGGGGAGGGGGCGGGGCCGCGGCTGCGCCTGCGCGGAGCGAGCTTTAAAGGGGGCGTGGTTTATGCTAAATAGCTATAATTGAGGCGTGGCTTCTCGGAGGGGCGTGGTTTTGGGCTGCGCGTGCGCAATGAGGGGGATTGCGATCCCAGTTCGTCCCAGTCCATCCCAGTGACTCCCCCAGGCCCTTCCTAAGGCCTCCCAATTTATCCCAGCCCCTTCCTAAGGCCTCCCAGCTCATCCCAGTCCCTTCCTAAGGCCTCCCAGCTCATCCCAGTCCCCTCCCAAGGCCTCCCAGTTTATCCCAGTGCCACCCTAACGCCTCACGGACCTTATCCCAGTTAACCCCAGTGCCCTCCTAAGGCCTCCCAGTTCATCCCAGTCCGCTCCTAAGGACTCCCAGACCTTTCCCAGTTCATTCCAGTTCATCCCAGTTGCTCCAGGGAGGGTCCCGGGGAGCTCCCGGTACCTGAAGGGGGCGTGGCCAGAGCAGAAAGGGGCGTGGCCAGAGCAGAAAGGGGCGTGGCCAGAGCAGAAAGGGGCGTGGCCAGAGCGCGATGGGCAGAACCATTGAGGGAGGTGGGGGCACAAGGACCCCCCAAAACCGGGCTGGGGGGGCACAAGGACCCCCAAAACCGGGCTGGGGGGGCACAAAGACCCCCAAAACCAGACTGGAGAACGGGGTGGATGAAACCATTGTGGGAGGGGGGGACAGGGAGGCAGAAGGACCCCCAAAAAGGGTCTGGGGGAGCACAAAGACCCCCAAAACGGGTCTGGGGGGCACAGAGCCCCCCCAAACTGGAGCCAGGGTCCCCAGGAAGCACAGACACGCCGGGTGGGACCAAGGGCTTTTAAAAACACGGGGGGGGCTCCCGAGTGTCGAGTCCGTCCGTCTGTCCGAGGGGACGGCCCCAAAGCCCCCCCAGCCCCCAAATCAGGCACGTGGCTCCGAGACCACCCCCCCCAAAAAAAGGGGAGGGGGGAGGGGGAGAAGCTTCAACCCCCATTTGGGGGCAAAGAGTCCGTCCTGGGGATGGGGGGCCCATCCTGGAGGGTCCCGGGGGTCTCATCCTGGGGGTCTCATCCTGGGGGTCCTGGGGGGCCCATCCAGGAAGGTCCAGAGGTCTCATCCCAGGGGGTCTCATCCAGGAGGATCCAGGGGGTCTCATCCCAGGGGTCTCATCCCGGGGGTCCCATCCAGGAGAGTCCAGAGGTCTCATCCAGGGGGTCTCATCCCAGGGGGTCTCATCCAGGAGGATCCAGGGGGTCTCATCCCAGGGGTCTCATCCTGGGGGTCCCATCCAGGAGAGTCCAGAGGTCTCATCCAGGGGGTCTCATCCCTGGGGGTCCCATCCAGGAGGATCCAGGGGGTCCCATCCCGAGGGTCTCCCCTCGGTGCTGCCGCAGTCCCTGCTGGAGGTTTGGGGTCCGGGGGGGTCCCGGCCCATGGTGGGGGGTCCTGTCCCCGTCCAGGGGGTCCCATCCCGTCCAGGGGGTCCCATCCAGGGGGTCCCATCCCGTCCAGGGGGTCCCGGGGGGTCCGGGGTCACCAGAGCCGGTGCTGGTGGAGGTTCCGGCTCAGGACGGAGCGAACGTCGGCCGTGAACCTGTAGGGGGAGAGGGGGGAGGTGAGACCCCCAAAGAGACCCCTCAAACACCCCCCCAATACACCCAGGGGGGGCCACGGGACCTAAAACCATCCCGGCACCCCCCAAAAAACATCCCAGGAGCCCCCAAATCACCCTGAGATCACCAAAATCACCCTGAAACCCCCCAAGATCACCTAAACCACCCAAAATCACCCTGAGATCACCAAAATCATCCTAAAACCCCCCAAGACCACCCAAAATCACCCAAGACCACCCTGAGAACACCCAAAATCACCCTGAAACCCCCCAAGACCACCCAAAATCACCCAAGACCACCCTGAGATCACCCAAAATCACCCTGAAACCCCCCAAGACCACCCAAAACCACCCTGAGATCACCCAAATCACCCCAGGATCCCCCAAAAACCAACCCAGGAGCCCCAAAACCACCCTGAGATCACCAAACCCCCCCTGGGACCCCCCAAACCCACCCAAAATCACCCCAGGACCCCCAGAAACCACCCCAGGACCACCCAAAATCACCTCAGGATCCCCAAAACCCCCCCAGCAATCACCAAAATACTCCCTGGGACCCCTCAAAACCCCCTGGGAGCCCCAAAATTGCCTCAGGACCCCCTGACCTCTCCAGGGCCCCCTCAGCCCCTCCTGAACCCCTCAAAGACCCCCAGGCCCCCCTCACCTGAGGGCGTCCAGCATGGGCAGCAGGTTGAGCAGGGCGGTGGTCCCCGGGGTCGCTGAACCACGACTTGATGGGGATGGCGTTGTCTGGGGGGCACAGGGAGGGGTCTGGGGGGCCTGGGAGCATTTTGGGGTCTGGGGGCTCCTGAAGGGGGTTTTGGGGGCCCTGGGGAAATTGGGGGTTCCAGGGGATTTTGGGGATGCCAAGAGGGGTGTCTGGGAGGTGCCTGGGAGCTGTTTGGGGGCGCTTTAGGGGTCCCAAGGGGTGGTTTATAGGGGGTTGGGGGTCCCAGGGTGGAATTTTGGGGGTTTTTGGGGGTTTTGGGGTGTATTTTTGGGGGTTTTGGGGTTTCTCAGGGGTCTCTGGGGTACCTGGGTGGCTCCTGTAGGCGCCAGGGAGTTGTCCAGGATGACGATGCCAGACAGGGAGGGGTTTGGGGGTCCCAGGGCTGTATTTTTGGGGGTTTTGGGGGTCCTGGGGTGTATTTTTGGGGGAGTTTGGGGGTCTCTCAGGGGTCTCTGGGGTACCTGGGTGGCTCCTGTAGGCGCCGGGGAGTTGTCCAGGATGACGATGCTGGACAGGGGAGGGGTTTGGGGGTCCCAGGGCTGTATTTTTGGGGGTTTTGGGGGGCTTTTGGGGGTTTTGGGGTGTATTTTTTGGGGGGAGGTTTTGGGGGTCTCTCAGGGGTCTCTGGGGTACCTGGGTGGCTCCGGTAGGCGCCGGGGGAGTTGTCCAGGATGACGATGTTGGACAGGGAAGGGGTTTGGGTGGTCCCAGGGCTGTATTTTTGGGGGGTTTTTGGGGGGTCCTGGGGGTGTATTTTTTGGGGGAGGTTTTGGGGATCTCTCAGGGGTCTCTGGGGTACCTGGGTGGCTCCTGTAGGCGCCAGGGGAGTTGTCCAGGATGATGATGCCGGACAGGGGAGGGGTTTGGGGGGTCCCAGGGCTGTATTTTTAGGAGGTTTTTGGGGGGGTTGGGGGTGTATTTTTTGGGGGAGGTTTTGGGGATCTCTCAGGGGTCTCTGGGGTACCTGGGTGGCTCCTGTAGGCGCCAGGGGAGTTGTCCAGGATGATGATGCCGGACAGGGGAGGGGTTTGGGGGGGGTCCCAGGGCTGTATTTTTAGGAGGTTTTTGGGGGTTTTGGCTGTGTATTTTTTGGGGGAGGTTTTGGGGGTCTCTCAGGGGTCTCTGGGGTACCTGGATGGCTCCTGTAGGCGCCGGGGGAATTGTCCAGGATGACGATGCTGGACAGGGGAGGGGTTTGGGTGGTCCCAGGGCTGTATTTTTGGGGGGTTTTTGGGGGGTCCTGGGGGTGTATTTTTTGGGGGGGGGCTTTGGGGGTCTCTCAGGGGTCTCTGGGGTACCTGGGTGGCTCCTGTAGGCGCCGGGGGAGTTGTCCAGGATGACGATGCTGGACAGGTCGCTGTGCACGACCGACAGGTCCTTGATGTAACTGCCCAGCTCCAGAGTGCAGTGCTGGGGGCGGGGCCAAGTCAGGACACGCCCCCTTCACCGGGGACACGCCCCCTTCACCGGGGACACGCCCCCTTTAACGGGGACACGCCCCCTCACCGGGGACACGCCCAGGGCTCCAGCCACGCCCACAAAATTCAAAGCCACGCCCAAATGTAACAAGCCACACCCCCAGGCTTCAAGCCACGCCCACAACACGTAACTCCCACAGGACTGAACCCGCCCTTCCAATGCCAGGCCACGCCCACAAAGCTCAAGCCACACCCCCATAACTCGAGCCACGCCCAAAAAACTCAAACCACACCCCAAAAAACTCAAACCACACCCCAAAAACTCAAACCACACCCCAAAAAACTCAAGTCACGCCCAAAGAACCTCAAGCCACGCCCCCCAAAGGCAGAGCCCCGCCCACCTGGCGGTAGTAGCGGCGGTTGAGGATGCTGCGGTTGTTGTCCAGCTTGTCGGCCACGGCACAGCCGTAAATCTCCATGGAGGCCGTGAACACCACCAGCTCGTACCACTGGCTCACCTGGGGGTTTGGGGGGTTTAGGGGGATTTGGGGGATTTGGAGGTCTCAGATCTCCATGGAGGCCAGTGAACACCACCAGCTCGTACCACTGGCTCACCTGGGGGGGGGTTTAGGGGGTTTAGGGGATTTGAGGGTTTGGGGGTCTCAGATCTCCATGGAGGCCGTGAACACCACCAGCTCGTACCTACTGGCTCACCTGGGGGGCATTGGGGGGGTTTAGGGGGGATTTTGGGGTCTCAGATCTCCATGGAGGCCGTGAACACCACCAGCTCAGTACCACTGGCTCACCTGAAGGGTTGGGGGTTTAGGGTTTGGGGATTTGGGATTTGGGAGGGATTTGGGGGTTTGGGGATTTGGGGTCTCAGATCTCCATGGAGGCCGTGAACACCACCAGCTCGTACCACTGGCTCACCTGGGGGTTTGGGGTTTAGGGGATTGAGAAGTTTAGGGGGATTTGGGGGATTTGGGGGTCTCAGATCTCCATGGAGGCCGTGAACACCACCAGCTCGTACCACTGGCTCACCTGGGGGTTTGGGGGTTTAGGGGATTTGAGGGGTTTAGGGGGTCTCAGATCTCCATGGAGGCCGTGAACACCACCAGTTCATACCATTAGCTCATCTGGGGGGAGTCTGGGGGGATTTAGGGGTCTGGGAAGTCCTTCGAGGGATTTGGGGGGTCTGGGTGGGACTTGGGGACTATTCTGGGGGCTTTCAGGGTTCCCAGGCGGTGATTGGGTGGGGTTTGGGGGGTGTTCTGGGGGGGTTTGGGTTCCCAGATGGTACCTGCAGGGTTCTGGGGGTTTAGGGGGTGTTCTGGGGGTGTTCTGGGGGTTTGGGATCACCACCACCTCGAGGAAGAAGTCCACGTGTGGCCGTTTGTGCACGAAGAACCTCACGGGGTGTTTGTCGATCACCACCTGGGGGCACCGGGAGGCTCAGCGGGACCCAAACCCCAAACAGCCCCAAACTGAGCCCCAAACTGGGCACCCCAGGAACCCCTCCCTTCCCATGAACCCCAACCCCCAGGGACCCCAGAGGCCCCAAACTGATCCCCAGGGCACACCCCTCAACTCCGCCCAAACCTCCCCCAGCCCGCCCCCAAAATTCCCCGCCCGCCCCCAAGCCCCCCACCTTGAGGATGAAGTCGGGGGGTCAGCGCTGCAGTGGAGCCGCAGCACCCGTCGTGGTGGGAGTGGATCAGGGTCTCATCCAGGTCCAGCACCAGGATCTTCCTCTTCACCTGGTCTGGGGGGGACAGGGGAGGGCTCAGGGGGGCCCCAAAAACCCCCCACCCCAATTTTGGAGGGTCCCCAGATCCTCTGTCCCCACTCCCAATAACCTCATACTTGCCCAACTCCTCCCGAGTTTGGGGTCTCTTTCCTGCCCAACCCTCCCCTCCTTCCCAGTTTTGGGGTTCCCTCCCCCAGTCTGAGATCCCCCCCCCCAATTTTCAGGGGTCACCCAGGTTCCCCCCACTTTGGGGGTCTCAGGGGGGACCCCAGCACTTACTGAGGCGGTTCCTGGAGATGGGGGAGAGGGGCAGGACGTCGTAACGCACCGTCTGGTACTGGATCACCTGGGGGACCCCAAAACGGGGGAGACCCCCTAAAACACTGCCCTGAAACCCCCCAGAGAGACCCCAAACCCACCAGAGACCCCCCAAACCCACTAGAGACCCCCCAATCCCCGAGAGACCCCCCAACACAACAGGGACCCCCCAACCCATGTCTGGTACTGGATCACCTGGGGGACCCCAAAACGGGGGAGACCCCCTAAAACACTGCCCTGAAACCCCCCAGAGAGACCCCAAACCTTCCAGGGACCCCCAACCCCAGGGACCCCCAACCTAGGGACCCCCAAACCCTCAGGACCCCAAACCCTCCAGGGACCCCCAAACCGAGAGAGCCCCCAAACCCTCCAGGGACCCCCAACCCAACAGGGACCCCCAAACCCTCCAGGGACCCCCAAACCATGTCTGGTACTGGATCACCTGGGGACCCCAAAACAGGGGAGACCCCTAAAACACTGCCCTGAAAACCCCAGGAGACCCCAAACCCTCAGGGACCCCCAAACCCAACAGGGACCCCAAACCAACAGGACCCCAAACCCTCCAGGGACCCCCAAACCCTCCAGGGACCCCCAACCCAACAGGATCCCCCAGCCCAACAAGGACCCCAAACCATGTCTGGTACTGGATCACCTGGGGACCCCAAAACAGGGAGACCCTAAAACACTGCCCTGAAACCCCCAAAGACCCCCAAACCCACCAGGAGACCCCCAAACCTGTGCTCGGGACTGGATCACCTGGGGGACCCCAAAACGGGGGAGACCCCCTAAAACACTGCCCTGAAACCCCCCAGGGAGACCCCAAACCCTCCAGGGACCCCCAAACCCAACAGGGACCCCCAAACCCACTCAGAGACCCCCAAACCCAACTAGAGACCCCAAACCCACTAGAGACCCCCAATCCCAGGGACCCCAACACAACAGGGACCCCCAACCCATGTCTGGTACTGGATCACCTGGGGGACCCCAAAACAGGAGACCCTAAAACACTGCCCTGAAACCCCAGAGAGACCCCAAACCTTCCAGGGACCCCCCAACCCAACAGGGACCTCCCCAAACCCTTCAACCCTCCAGGGACCCCCAACCCAACAGGGACCCCAAACCCTCCAGGGACCCCCAACCCAACAGGGACCCCCAAACCCTCAGGGACCCCCAACCCTTCAAGCCCTCAGGGATCCCCCAAAACACAACAGGGAACCCCTAAACCATTCAGGGACCCCCCAAAACCCCCCAGATCCCCCAAAATCCTTCAGGGACCCCCAAACCCACCAAGGACCTCCCTCAAAAGGGAAGAAACCTCCTAAACCCCCCGCAAATGGGCAAAAATCAGCCCCAAATCCCCCCAAAATGGGGAAATCCCCCTAAAATGGGGATAACCCCCAAAATGCACCCCAAAATGAGAAACCCAGCCCTAAATCCCTCCAAGCCCCAGGCCCCCAGCGCCACTGAGGGGGTGTCCTGCCCCAACGGCCCAAAATAACCCCAGGTGTCGGCCGTGCCCCCGTGACCCCGGAGTCCAAAATTAAACCTCCCACCTGCTGCTCCTCATCAGCCCGGCACCGGGAGACCCCCTAAAGCACCCCCAAACCCTAAAAAGCACCCCCAGAGCCCCTAAAGCACCCCCAAACCCTCTCTAAAACCTCCTGAAAGACCCCCAAGACAACCTTAACCCCCTAACGCCCCAAGACACTCTGTAGACCCCGACCCCTAAAAACACCCCCAACCCTAAGACACCCCAAGACCCCTTAACGACTCCCCAACACCCCCTAAACACCCCCTCCTAAAACACCTCGACCCCCCCAAACACCTCAAAACCCCCAAAACACCTCAAAACCCCCAAAACACCTCAAACCCCAAAACACCTCAACCCCCAAAAACCTCATCAAACACCTCAAAAGCACCTCTGACCCTCCCAACCCCCTAAAGTCCCCAAATAAACCCCAAACCCCTGAAACCCCCTAAAACCCCTCCCAGGGCTCCCAACGCCCCCCTAAAGCCCCTCGAGACCCCCTGAACCCCCCAAAGCCCCCGAAAGCCCCTCCAAACGTCCCCCAAACCCCCTCAGCCTCCCAAAAAGCCCTCCCAAAACTCTTGGGGGGCTGCAGGGACCCGAGTTTGGGGAAGGAGTGAGACCCAGAGACCCCCAAACCGGAGGGGCCAGGGGAAACTGAGCAGGGTGACCCCCTTATTCCAGTGTCCCCCGGTATTCCCAGTGCCCCCTGGTTATTCCCAGTACCCTCCCAGTTATTCCCAGTACCCCCGGTATTCCCGGGACTACTCGGTGCCCCCGGAATTCCCGGTGCTCCCCCGTTACTCCCAGTGCCCGTCCAGTGTCTCCTGTTTCCCCCGTTACTCCGATGCCCCCCCGTTATTCCCGGTGCCCCCGTTACTCCCGTTATTCCCGTTAATCCGGTGTCCCCCGTTATTCCCGTCCCTCCCGTTACTCCCGGTGCCCCCGTTTTCCCGGTGCCCCCCGTTACTCCCGTTATTCCCGTTCCCCCGTTACTCCCGTTGCCCCCCGTTATTCCCGTTGCCCCCGCTGATACCCCCGGGCCGGCACTCACGGTTCGGACCTGCCTCCTGAGCAGGTACAGCACGAAGCTCCAGAGCTTGGCGGCGAAGGCCACGAAGGAGCGGAGCCCGAGCAGGCACTGGCTCCGCATCATCCCGGCACCGGCACCGCCGGCACCGGCGCCGCCGCCGGCGCGGCCCAGCTCCGCCAGCTTCTCCCTGCGGGCCCCGCGGCGGGTGCGGCGGGTGCCCCCGGCGAGGCGGGTGCCCCCGGCAGGCGGGAGGGCTCTGGGGGTGCCCGGGGGGGCCCGGCCCTCACCGCGGGTCCCGGCCCGCGCCCGCCGCCATCGCTCCCGCTCGCGCCGCCGCCGCCGCTTCCGGTCCCGCCGCTTCCGGCCCGCCGCCAGGGGGCGCGCTGCGCGCCGCGGGGGGCGTGGTTTGGAGGCGTGGTTATGTAAATTAATGGAGGGTTCAACGGAGGGGGCGTGGTCTTTGTGGGGATAACGGGGAGAGCGCGGAGGGGGCGTGGCAGCACGCATTGTATGTAAATTAGTGGGCGTGGTTTAGCATGTGGGACACACAAAACAGCGGTCGAGGGTGTGGTTATGCAAATTGAGGGGCGTGGTTTTACCCCGGAAAGGGGGCGTGGCCGCCCCTCAGCGCCTGCCCCAAGGTCCTTGTGCTCCCCCAAAGTCCTTCCCGCCCCCCAAAATTGGGGGTTTCCCCCCCTCCCAGGTTGGGATGCCCTCCCCCCAAATTGGAGCCATTCCCCCCCCCAAATTTGGGTCTCTCCCCAGATCTGGGGGTTCTACACCCAAAATTGGGGCCCCCTCCCCAAAATTGGGGTCCCCTCCAAATTAGACACCCCTTCCCCAGAATTGAGGGTGCCCCCCTCCCAAAATGACCACAGCCAGGTAAGGGAGGTGCAGAACCTTTATTGGGGTCCCAAATTCGGGGGGCAGGGACTCCCAAACTTTGAAGGGCAGTGTGGGGGGCCGGTCACACATCCAGGTCATCATCGGGGTCCTCGAAGTCCTCAGGGTCCTCAGGGGGGCTCACGACAGTCCCGGGGGTCTCGAGGAGGGTCGACATCCTGGGGAAAGGGGGGATGGACAGAGCGTTACTGGGGGCACTGGGACAAACTGGGCAGGTCTGGGGGGGCTCAGGGGGGTCCCCCCGACTCACGTGGGGGGGCTCAGCAGGTACGGGGGGGTCACGGCCGCCCGGGCCCCCCGTTCGGCCGCCGACAGCCCCAGGCGGAACGTGAGGGGGGCGACCCCCGGCTCGGGGGAGACCCCCGGATTTTGGGGGGGGTCCCCGTGGTCATTCTGGGGGGTCACCCCCAGGCAGTGCAGGGACCCGTCAGGCTGGAGGGTGAACGTCTCATCCTGGGTGAGGGGAACAGGGACAGGTTTGGGCTTTTATGCCGTTTTCCCCTCACTTTTCCTGCCGTTTTCTCCTCACATTTCCCACCGTTTTTGCCCTCACCTTTTCCACCTTCTTCTCCTATCCTTTCTTCCTATACTTTTTCCCTCACGTCTCCCGCCCTTTTCCCCTCACGTTTCCCGCCCTTTTTCCCTCACGTTTCCCGCCCTTTTCCCCTCACGTTTCCCGCCCTTTTTCCCCTCACATTTCCCGCCCTTTTCCCCTCACGTTTCCTGCCCTTTTCCCCCTCAAGTTTCCCACCCTTTTCCCCTTTCATTTCCCACCATTTTTCTCTTGTATTTCACACCCTTTTCTTTTTGTGTTTCTTGTCCTTTTTCTCTCACATTTCCCTCTGTTTTCCTCTCACATTTTCCCCTCAGGTTTCCCACTCTTTTCTTCTCCCATTTCCCACCATTTTCCCCTCATATTTCCTGCCCTTTTTATCCTCAGGTTTCCCTCCGTTTTCCCCTCACGTCTCCCTCCGTTTTCCCCTCATGTTTCCCCTCATTTTCTCCTCACGTTTCCCTCCATTTTCCCCTCATGTTTCTCTCCATTTTCCCCTCACATTTCCCCCCATTTTCCCCTCACGTTTCCCTCCATTTTCCCCTCACATTTCCCCCCATTTTCTCCTCACGTTTTCCCTGGAAACCCCAACACCCCCCCAAAACCCCTCCAAGCCCCAAAACTCCCCAAGCCCCTGAAGCCCCCATGTGCCCCCCCAAACCCACCTGCTGCCAGACCCCCTTTTCTCTGGGGTGTCTGAGCACTCGAGGACTCGGGGGCTCCGAAGGCGAGAGGTCCCCAACACCAGCTGGGTCTTGGCGAGGGCCCCCAGGGCCCGAATGAGGAGGGGTGCAGGTCCTCGTGCAGCAGTGCCAGGACACGGGAGGGGGTCCTGGGGAGGATTCTGGGGGCTCAGCACCCCAGACCCCCTCAGGGCACCCCTGTACCCCAACACTGGGGGCTCAGTGTCTGACCCCCTGAACCCCAAACCCCAATTTTGGGGAGGCCCCTAACTCGCCCCAGCCTCCCTATTGCCCACCCAGACCCCCACAAAACCCCTTCAAACCCCCCAGGCCACATCCCAAACCACCCCAAATCCCCCAAACCCACCCAAACTCCCCCAAGCCCCCACCCCTCATCGCTTTTGGAGTCCCCCTCCAAGAGCCCCCCAGACCCCTCAAATCCCCCAAACTCCCCAAAGCCCTCCCAGACCCCTCAAATCCCCCAAATCCTCCCAGGCCTCACCGTTTGAGGCCCCAGGAGCCCCCAGGTCCCGGCAGATTTTGGGAGGGGCTCCCTCAGCACCAACCAACTGAGCGGAGTCCAGAACCAGCGTCCGGGACCCCCGGGGAACTCCCATCCAGGAGCCCCCAGACCCCCAGCCGGAACAGGGGGTCTGGGCCCAGCCAGCCCAGGGGTCCCCAAAAACGTCCAGGTACTGCAGGCTGCAAAAGGGGGGGAGAGGGGGTCAGGGAGGATTTGGGGGTCTAGGGTAATTTAGGGGTCTGGGGAGGTAGGAGGGTTTGGGGGGTTGAGGCGGTTTTGGGGCATTTGAGGGGGTCTTGGAGGGAGATAGAGGAGTATAATGGAGTCTGGGGGCCCTGGGGGTTTGGGGGTCCAAGAGGGGGTTTAGGGGGGGGTCTGGGGGGTTTTGGGGGTCCGTAGCCCCCCACTCACCGCTCCCTCACGGGGGGGCTCAGCCCCACCTCGAACTGCTCCCGGGGCACCTCCAGGAGCACGACCAGGACCTGCTCAGCCCTGGGGGGGTTTTGGGGGGTTAATCTGGGGGGGATGAGACCCTCCCCAGCACCCCAAACCCCCGGAGCCCTCCCCACCTGGTGACGGCGCGCTGAGCAGCGCCCGCAGGAGGCTCCGACCCTCGCACGCGGCGCTGTCTGGGGGCAGGGACAGACCCCGTGGTGACCCCCGAACCCCAGAACAGGTCCATAACCCCAAACCGACCCCCAGAGACCCCAGACCAGCCCCCAGAGACCCCAGACCAGCCCCAGAGACCAACCAGCCCCCAGAGACCCCAGACCAGCCCCATAATCCCCAACCAACCCCTAGAGACCAGCCAACCCACAGCCCAGACCCCCAAACCCAACCCCCAGAGACCCAAACCAGCCCCAAATCACCCCAAACCAGCCCCAAATCACCCCAAACCAGCCCCAAATCACCCCAAACCAGCCCCCAAATCACCCCAAACCAGCCCCAAATCACCCCAAAACAAACCCCAAATCACCCCAAACCAGCCCCAAATCAACCCAAACCAGCCCCAAATCACCCCAAACAGCCCCAAATCACCCCAAACCAGCCCCAAATCACCCCAAACCAGCCCCAAGTCAACCCAAACCAACCCCAAATCACCCCAAACCAGCCCCCAGAGACCCCAAACCAGCCCCCAGAGACCCCAACCAGCCCCCTAGAGACCCCAAACCAGCCCCATAACCCCCAAACCAGCCCCCAGAGACCCAAACCAGCCCCCCAGAGACCCCAACCAGCCCCATAACCCCCAACCAGCCCCCAGAGACCCCAATCAGCCCCCAGAGACCCCAAACCAGCCCCCCAGAGACCCCAACCAGCCCCTAGAGACCCCAAACCAGCCCCATAACCCCCAAACCAGCCCCCATAACCCCAAAACAGCCCCCAGAGACCCCCGACCAGCCCCATAACCCCCAACCAACCTCATGGGCCCCCAAACCAACCCCATAACCCCCAAACCATACTCATGGACCCCCCAAACCAACCCCCACCCCCTAAACCTGCCCCAAATCCCCCAAGCCCCACAGGAGCAGCAGCCCCACAGCCCCTCAGACTCCCCCAAACCCCCAGACCCCGCACGAGCAGCAGCCCCACAGCCCCCCCAGACCCCTCGATCCCCCCCAGACCCTCCAAACCCGCAGACCCCTCAAACTCCCCCAAAATGCCCCCAGACCCCGCACGAGCAGCAGCCCCTCAGCGCCTCCCGCCACCAGCGCCTCCAGCATCGCCGCCCGGCGCCTTCCGATGACGTCACAAGACGGCCAAGGGCGCCGCCATCTTTGCTGGGCCCTCCCGGGAGCGGCCCTGTACGGCAAAGGGCGCCGCCATGTTGGCCGGGTCGCTCCTGGTGATGACGTCACGTTACGGCAAAGGGCGCCGCCATGTTGGAATGAGGGGATTTGGGGATTTCTTGGCGGGATTTGGCGGGGTTGGGGGTCCCCTGGGGCAGTTTGGGGGTCCCAGAGGGGGTTTGGGGGTCCCTTGGGGGGTTTGAACCCCACAAGTTCCAAAAAGGCGCCAGAAAAGAGTTTCAAAACACCCAAAAAAAATCGTTTTATTTTGTACAAAATCATCGGAGAAAAACCCGCGGGGACCCCCCCCCCAGTTGGGGAAGGGGGGTCCAGGCACTGAGGGGGGGAGGGACCCCAAGAGTGGGGGGGGAACATCCCTGAGTTGGGGGGGTCCCAAAAATGGGTCTGGGGGAGTCCTTAAATGGCTCTGGGAGTTCCCAAAGTGGGTCAGGGGTTCCAAAATGGGTCTGGGGGCTCGACGGGACCCCCAAATGGCACTGAGGGGGGCGGTCCCGAAATGGGTCTGGGGGTTCCCTCAGACGTACTCGCGGGCGCTGCTGGGGGGGGATCTGGCCCCGGGGGTCTTCCTGGCCTTGGGGTACGCGCGGGTGGTGCCGCCCCCCCCGCAGCGGGAGCAGGACGAGGCCAGCAGGGACCCCCCGAGCAGGGTCAGCGCGGCCCCCCCCCAGCCCACGAACAGCGCCGTCCCGAACTCGAACCTGCCGAGGGAGAGAGCGGTGAGAGACCCCCGAAAATATCCCAAATATTCCCAAATATCTCCCAAATCCCACAAAAAACACCCCCTAAACCACCACAACCTCCCCCCAGCCCACGAACAGCGCCGTCCCGAACTCGAACCTGCCGAGGGAGAGAGCGGTGAGAGATCCCCCAAAATATCCCAAATATCCCCAAATATCCCCCAAATCCCACAGAAAACACCCCCTAAACCACCACAACCTCCCCCCAGCCCACGAACAGCGCCGTCCCGAACTCAAACCTGGGAAAGAGGGGCAACTAGGGTGAGAGAGCCCCCAAAATATCTCAGAATATCCCAAAATATCCCCTTTTCCCCTCTCATTTCCCACCATTTTGTTCCCTCACGTTTCCCGCCCTTTTCCCCTCACGTTTCCCGCCCTTTTCCCCTCACGTTTCCCGCCATTTTCCCCTCACGTTTCCCGCCCTTTTCCCCTCACGTTTCCCGCCCTTTTCCCCTCACGTTTCCCGCCCTTTTCCCCTCACGTTTCCCGCCCTTTTCCCCTCATGTTTCCCATCATTTTTCTCCTCATGTTTTCCATCATTTTTCCCCTCATGTTTCCCACCATTTTCTCCACCCGACAATACCCTAAAACGCCCCCAAATGTCCCAAAATACCCAAAACCCCACAAAATCACCACAGCCCCCCTGAAGTCCCCCCTCACTTGTAGTTGACAGGCACTGTGGGGTCGTAGAAGTTGGTGACGATCCTGTGGCCGTACCAGGAACAGGCGACGAGTCCCAACAGCCCTGGGGGGGATCCCCGTGAGCCCCCCCGGGACCCCCAGAACCCCCACATGGGGCTGGGGGGGGGCCCAAATACCCCAGGGAGACCCCCAAAATGGGGCTGGGGGGGATTAAATCCACCCGGGAGACTCCCAATATGGGGCTAGGGGGGGCTCCAAGAGGGGCTGGAGACCCTTCAATGGGGAGGTGGTTTTGGGGGTCTCGCAGGGCGATTTGAGTCCCTGATGAGGGTCCCACAAGGGGTTTCAGGTCCCAAAGGGGGGATTTTGGGTCCCAAATTGGAGTTTTTGGGGTCCCAAAGGGAGCTTTTGGGGTTCCCCAAGCGGGCTCAGCGCAAGGAGGGGCGGTCATTTTTGGTGTCCCAAAGGGGGTTTTGGGGGTCCCAAAGGGGGTTTTGGGGGTCAGCACAAGGGGTGGGGGGTGTCATTTCTGGGGTCCCAAAGGGGGTTTTGGGGTTCCAAAGGGGGTTTTGGGGGTCCCCGAGCAGGGTCAGCGCAAGGGGTGGGGGGTGTCATTTTTGGGGTCCCAAAGGGGGTTTTGGGGGTCCCCAAGCAGGTTCACCACAAGGGGGGTGTTATTTCTGGGGGTCACTCACCGGCCACGATGAACAGGGACCCCCCAGCTGCCGCCACCTTGGCCTTGGTCCGGGGGTCTTCACTCCCACAGCGGGTGCATTTCATGCCCCCCACGGCCACGCCCAGGGCCAGCGGGCCCAGGACCCCCGAGATCACCAGGAGAGCCCGCGTGGCCTGCAGGTGACCTGGGGGGACACGGGGGGGTCACACAGGGGGCTTGGGGGGTCCTTCAGGGGGGCTTTGGGGGGTATTTGAGGGGTCCTGGAGGGGTTCTGGGAGGTCTCTGAGTAATTTCGGGGTCCCGAGGAGGGATTTGGGGCTTTCTGGGTGATTTGGGGGAGTCCCTGAGAGGATTTTGGGGGGTCTCGGGTTTCCCACGACCCCAGGGTGGGTCCCGAGCAGGGCGGGGGTGGCTCCTTTATGACCCCCCAGGAGGGACTTTGGCCTCGGCCGCGCCCAAAGCAGGAGTGGCAGCGGGACATGGGAGGGGACAGGGACAGGGATGGGGACAGGGATGGGGACAGGGACAGACACCCCGGCACCCCTCGGGCCACCCCAATGTCCCCCCAGTGCCCCCAAATCTCCTCAATGTCCCCAATTCCCCCCAATATCCCCAATCCCCCAATATCCCCCCCAATCCCCCCGATGTCCCTGATGTCCCCCATAGCTCCTGTATCCCCTCTATCCCACCTGGCAGGGCGAGGACGGAGTCGTAGCTCTTGCACTGCAGCTGCCCCGTGCTCTGGCTCACGCAGCTCATCCAGAGCCCCTTCCAGGTGACGAGGGCGGTGATCAGCGTGTCCCCCGCGAACGACGACACCTCCCACTGCGGCAGCGCCGTCGCCGCCACCAGCGCCGCCCAGCCGGCACCCGCCAGCGCCAGCCCCAGCACCTGCAGCCCCCCGTGCACCATCCTGGGGGGGACAGCACGTATAGATCACCTACAGATCATCTACAGGTACCTACAAACACCTACAGATCACCTGTGGTCACCCACAGTCACCTTTGGCAGTGCCACCAGCACCGCCCAGCCGGCCCCCGCCAGCGCCAGCCCCAGCACCTGCAGCCCCCCGTGCACCATCCTGGAGGGGACACACCTATAGATCACCTACAGATCGTGTACAGGTACCTACAGACACCTACAGATCACCTACAGATCATCTACAGGTACCTACAGACACCTACAGATCACCTGTGGTCACCCACAGTCACCTAGGGCAGTGCCACCAGCGCCGCCCAGCCGGCACCCGCCAGCACCAGCCCCAGCACCTGCAGCCCCCCGTGCACCATCCTGGAGGGGACAGCACATATAGATCACCTACAGGTACCTATAGACACCTAAAGATCATCTATAGACCCCTGTAGGTCACCTATGGTTACTTATAGATCAGCTATGGTCACCTATGGCAATGCCAGCACCACCGCCCAGCCGGCACCCGCCAGCGCCAGCCCCAGCACCTGCAGCCCCCCGTGCACCATCCTGGGGAACACACCTATAGATCACCTGCGAATCATCTACAGGTACCTACAGACACCTACAGATCACCTACAGATCACCTACAGGTACCTACAGGCACCTACAGATCACCTGTGGTCACCCACAGTCACCTATGGCAATGCCACCAGCGCCGCCCAGCCGGCACCCGCCAGTGCCAGCCCCAGCACCTGCAGCCCCCCGTGCACCATCCTGGGGGGGACACACATATAGATCACCTGTGGATCATCTACAGGTACCTACAGACACCTACAGACACCTGTAGATCACCTATGGCAGTGCCACCAGCGCCAGCACCTGCAGCCCCCCGTGCTCTGTCCCTGTAGGGACACACCTGTAGATCACCTACAGGTACCTGTGGACACCTCTGGGAAAACCTACAGAGAACTCAGAGCTGCCCCCAGAGCCCTACAGATGTTCTGGGGACGTGTGTGGGGAGCTGTGGATACCTCACAGGCACAGGTCATGTGGGGTGAGCCCACAGATGGCCCAGGGGTGACCCTTGGGGGGACCTACAGGTACTGGGGGTACTTACAGGTACTGGGGGTACTTATAGGTACTGGGGGTACCTACAGGTACTGGGGGGACCTACAGGTACTGGGGGTGCCTACAGGCACTGGGAGTACCTACAGGTACTGGGGGTACCTACAGGTACTGGGGGTGCCCCACGAACCCTTGGGGTCACCTATGGAGACCCTGCAGTCAGGAGGGTTGTCCAGAGATGGGTACGGATACGGATAGCTCATGGGCACCCATGGGAACCTGTGGATACCCTGTGGATACCCTGGGAGATCCACCTTTGGATACCCTGTGGATACCCTGGGAGATCCTCCTATGGATACCCTGGGGACCCTGGGAGATCCACCTGTGGGCCCCCTATGGATCACCCTGGGGACCCTGCGGAGCTCCCGGATCCCCAATGGATCCCATGGATCCCCTATAGATCCATTGTGGAATCCCTATAGATCCATTGTGGATCCCCTATGGGGACCCCACGAGCAGCCGGGGCCCTCCCAGACCCCCTTCAGACCCCCCACAAAAAGCAGCAGAGACCCCCCCTGTCCCTACAGACCCCCTAGAGACCCCTAGATCCCCTATAGACCCCCTAGAGAACCCCTAGATCCCCTATAGATCCCCCTAGAGACCTCCTAGACCCCCTATAGACCCCCCTATAGATCCCCCTATAAAACCCATAGACCCCCTAGAGACCCCCTAGACCCCCTACAGGCCCTCCACAGACCCCCCGGTCTCACCTGGGGACCCTCCGGACGCGGCACCTGCAGGTTGGGGGGGGGCCAAAGGTGAGCGCACCTGTATAAGGGGTGGGTGACGTCATCGGTGACGTCACCAGGGCGGGGCAGGCGACAGGGACCGGGGACAAAGGGGACAGTTGGGGGGGGGGTGAGACACAGGGGACAAGGGTCAGGGAGGGGCCGGGACACGCCTGGCGGGGGAGGTTGGAGGGAGAATTGGGGCGGTTTAGTGGGATCTGGAGGGGTTGGGGGGATTTTGGGGTTTCGGGGGATAATTGGGGGTTTAGGGGGATAATGAGGGGTTTCGGGGGTGACAATAGGGGATTTGGGGATTTTGGGGGGTCCCCACGGGGTTCCTGGGGGTATTTTAGGGGCTTATTGGGGGGCTCCAGGAGGGTTTTGGGGGCTCTCCAGGGGGTTCTTGGGGGGTCCTCAGGGGGTTCTTGGGGGGTCCCCGGGGGTTCCCCCCCAATTCAAAACCAAGTCACGGTGACGTCACGGCGGGAACAGCCCGGGCCACGCCCCCCACCGCTGATTGGCGGAACCCCGTGGGGTGGGCGGGGCACGGGACAAGACCCCACCCTCGGTTGCGATTGGGCACTGAGTCACTCCCGATGACGTCACTACTGTTGTGACGTCATGAGAGCTGTTCCCCACTGAAACCAAAACTGAAACACGAGGAGGGGAGAAAGAGGAAATTTGGGGGGGTCCCAGGAGGGGTTTGGGGGGTCTGAGACCCTCAAATTACTCCCAGAACTTCCAGCCTCCCCTCGGACCCCTCCAAATTCCCCCCAAACCCTCCCCCCAGGCCCCCCAAAACTCAGACTCCCCCTGATGTCTCAAGGCCACCGCGGTGTCCCTTTATTTTGGTGTCCCCAGGTTTGGGGGGGGGCCCAAGGTGTCCCTGGGGGTGTCCCCAGGGTGTCCCCGAGGCAGGACAAGGCAGCTGGGGGTGACACTGGGGGTGTCCCCAAAGGGGGGGTGACACTGGGGGTGTCCCCAGGGTGTCCCCAAGGCTCAGAGGTGTCCCTGGGGTGCCCTGGGGTGTCCCCAGGGTGTCCCCAAGGCTGTCACACCCCAGTGAAGGCTTCGGTGTCCCTTCCCTGGTGTCCTCAGGGGCGTCCTGGCTGTGTCCCCACGATGTCCCCTCGTTGTCCCACGCTGTCCCACTGCGTCCCACGTTGTCCCAGAGTGTCCCCAAGGTGTCCCCAAGGTGTCCCCAGAGTGTCACACCCCATCAAAGTCCCCTTTCACAGTCTCTGATGGCCGGGGGTGTTCTGGGGGTGCCCTGGGGAGGTCCCCACAACGTCCCCTCGTTGTCCCTCGTTATCCCAGGCTGTCCCCAGGCTGTCCCTCGTTGTCCAGCGTTGTCCCAGGCTGTCTCCAGAGTGTCCAGGCTGTCCCCATCCTGTCCCCAGCTGTCCCAGCTGTCACTGCTCCAGCATCTGCTCGCAGGCGCGGGCCAGCTCTGCCAGGCGCCGCCGGGCGTAGTCCAGGCGGTTCAGGGCCAGCTGGCAGCTCTTCCTGGCCGCGTAGCTCGAGCCCTCGTGGGGCTGCCCCGTGGCCACCTGGGGGCACGGCACAGCCAGACAGGTCAGACACCCCAAAACACCCCCAAAAAAACCCCAAAACCCCCCAAAAACACCCACCAAAACACCCCAAAAAACCCCAAAAACATCCACCGAAACAACCCAAAAACACCCACCAAAACACCCCCAAAACACCCCCAAAAAAACCCCAAAACACCCCCAAAACACCCCCAAAAAAACCCAAAAACACCCACCAAAACACCCCAAAAACACCCACCAAAACACCCAAAAACACCCACCAAAACACCCCAAAAACACCCACCGAAACAACCCCAAAACACCCCCCAAAACACCCCAAAACACCCACCAAAAAAACCCCAAAACACCCCAAAAACACCCACCAAAACACCCCAAAACACCCACCAAAACACCCCCAAAACACCCCAAAAACACCCACCAAAACACCCCCAAAACACCCACCGAAACAACCCAAAAAACCCACCCAGCACCCCCTGAAACCCACCTGGCGGCATGGCCCAGCTGGCCAGCTGAGACATCCCAAAACCCCCCCAAAAAACCCCCCAGGACCCTCCAACCCCCCCCAGAGCTCCCCAAACCCCCCCGGGGGTCTCACCTGGGTGAGGTACCGGATCTGCGCCGACAGCTCGGCCTCCACCTTGGCCACGGCGGCGCCGAACTGGGCGGCCTGGCGGTCCAGGTGCCGCTCCGTGGGCTTCTCCTTGGACAGCTCCAGGATCACCGAGCCTGCAGACACACCTGTGATTCACCTGGGCACATGGGACCACCTGTCACACACCTGGCACACCTGGGACCACCTGGGACCACCTGGGACACACCTGAGACCCCCAAACCACCCCAGAGGGTCCAGGTGCCGCTCCAGGGGCTTCTCCTTGGACAGCTCCAGGATCACCGAGCCTGCAGACACACCTGTGACTCACCTGGGACACACCTGGGCACACCTGTGACTCACCTGGGTACACCTGGCACACACCTGGGACACACCTGAGACCCCCAAACCACCCCAGAGGGTCCAGGTGCTGCTCTGGGGGCTTCTCCTTGGACAGCTCCAGGATCACCGAGCCTGTAACACACCTGTGATTCACCTGTCACACCTGGGACCAGCTGGCACACCTGGCACACACCTGGCACATCTGTCACACATCTGGCACACATCTGTCACACCTAGGACCACCTGGGACATACCTGGGCACACCTGGGACACACCTGAGACCCCCAAACCACCCCAGAGGCTCCAGGTGCCGCTCCGGGGTCTTCTCCTGGGGCAATTCCAGGATCAGGGACCCTAAAACCCCACTCGGGACCCCTTTGGTCCCGCCCACTGAGCAGGCCCCGCCCCTCCAACAGCCACACCCATTTTAACCCCGCCCACCCTGCAGACTCCACCTCCCTCAAGACAAACTCCCGCCCACCCCGCGCGCTCTCCCGCGCTGAGCCCTCGCTGCCCGCCCGGCCCCGCGCGCACCCGCGCTCTGCAGGGAGGCCCCGATCTCCCTCTCGAGCTCCTCCAGCGCCCGCAGCCGCTCGTTCGCCACCCCGAACCCCGCCATGCTCCGGGGCCGCCTCCGCTTCCGCCTCCCGGAGCGGAACTTCCGGGCCGCGCGGGGGGGACGCTCTGGGCGCGTCTCGATGGTTGGGGGTGTATGTGGGGGGGTCCTCCCGCGGGCCACGCCCCGTCCCGGGCCGCGCCCTCCCCATTGGCCCGCCGTTCCCGCCTCGCTCGCTTTCCCGCGCTCTGACGTCATCTCCCCGAGCCTCACGGTCTCCACGGTAACGGCCTGGATTCGGCGGCGCTTCTGTGACGTCGCGGGGCGGTGCCGTGACGTCACGGGCGGGCGCGATGGCGGCCGTGGCGGCCCCGCGGGCCCCTCCGGCCCCGCCGCTGCTCGAGGCGCTCTCGGCGCTGTCGGCGCTGCCCCCGCAGCGAGGGGCGATCCCGGGGCTCGTCAGGGGCCTCCGCGACAGCGGCGGGACTCAGGTGAGGGGGATGGGGGGGGGAGGGACCCCCGGCGTGGGACCCCCCCCCCACCTGGGGAGGGACCCCCCGTGTGAGGGAACCCCTCAGAATGGGCCCCACCCCCCGGGCCTCGCGGATCGGGACCCCCCACCGAGGAACGGGACCCCCACCCCTCAGCTTGAACCCCCAGGGATTGGGACCCCCGGACCCCAGGACCCCTGACCCCCGGACCCCCAGGACACCCCAGGACCCCCAGGACCCCTCAGGACCCCATCTCTCCTCACCCAAGATTGGGACCCTCCTCCTCCACAAGGAACAAGATCCTCTCCCCCCCTCCCCGTGGAGTGGGACCCCTGCTGAACCCCCAGGACCCCAAATGACTCCCCCATCACCCCCCAGACCCTCAGTGACATCCCAGGACCCCTGAGTGACTCCCCAATGACCCCCAAACCCTCAGTGCCCCTCCCAGGACCCCCAATGACCCCCTGGCAGCCCCCTGACCCCAATCCCCCAGCTTCCCTCAGTGACACCCCAGGAACCCCAGAGTGATCCCCAATGACCCCCAAACCCTCAGTGACCCCCCCAATGACCCCCAAACCCTCAGTGACCCCTCCCAAGACCCCCCAGGACCCCCCCTGACCCCCCCTTTTCCCCCCAGGCCGCCCTGGGGGGTCTCCTGGGCGTCACCAACGCCCGCCTGAGCTCCATGAAGACCCGGTGAGTGACGGCCCCGGCGGCCAATCGGGGCAGGGTTGTGCATTTTGGGGGCGGGGCTTGTTGGGAAAGCAGCCAATCAGGAAAAGGGGGAGTGGCTTTTTTGCACAGTCTTTGCTCTGATTGGTTGTTACATTAGGAGTAGGTGGAGCTTGCTGAGTAGCCAATCAGAAGAGTTTACTCATGAATGGTTTATTTTGGTGGGTGGGGCTCACAAGGCAAGCAGCCAATCAGATTCTGCCATTGGTTATTTTGTCGTGAGTGGGCGGGGCCTCTCAACCCGCCAGCCACAACCTGCTCCTCATTGGCTGCTTGGTTTTTTTGTGGAGGGGCGGGGCTTGTGGACCAACCAATCAGGTGCTGCCTCTCTGCTACGCCCCTACTCTCACTCCCCATTGGATACCTGACTTTGTGTGGGCGGGGCCAATGCTGACCAATCAGCATTTAGGTGGGGCATTCCATGTCCTTATAAGGAGATGTGGGCGGGGCCAGTTGAGCCGGGTGGCCAATCAGGCACAGTGGGAGGGGCTGGGGATGTTAATGAGGGGGCGTGTCCCGCTGTGATTGACACCCCGCAGGTTCGAGGGGCTGTGCCTGCTGTCCCTGCTCGTCAGCGAGAGCCCCAGCGACGCCTTCCAGCAGCACTGCCTGGGCTGGCTCCGCCTCCTGCAGCACCTGCTCCAGGTCAGGGCACCTGGGGGGCACCCACGCACACCTGGGGGGCACCCACGCACACCTGGATACACCTGGGGGGCACCAACACACACCTGGGCACAGCTGGAACACACCTGGATACACCTGGGGGGCACCCACGCACACCTGGGCACGGCTGGAACACACCTGGGGCACCCACACACACCTGGGGGCACCCACACACACCTGGGGGGCACCCACGCACACCTGGGCACGGCTGGAACACACCTGGGTACACCCACATACACCTGGGTACAGCTGGAACACACCTGGATACACCTGGAACACAGCTGGGGGGCACCTGGGGGGCACCCACGCACACCTGGATACACCTGGGGGGCACCCACACACACCTGGGGGCACCTGGGGGGCACCCACGCACACCTGGGCATAGCTGGGACACACCTGGATACACCTGGGACACACCTGGGTACACCTGGGGGGCACCCATGCACACCTGGGGGCACCCACGCACACCTGGGGGGCACCTACACACACCTGGGTACACCTGGGGGGCACCCACACACACCTGGGCACAGCTGGAACTCACCTGGGGGCACCCACACACACCTGGGCACAGCTGGGACACACCTGGATACACCTGGGACGCACCTTGGGGCACCCACACACACCTGGGGGGCACCTGAGATTCTTTTTGTGGGTGTTTGGTGGGGTTTTTGGGGGCGGGTTGGGGTCGTTTTGGGGGTTTGGGTCTCAGTGGGGGTCTCCATGAATGGGGGGTCTCTATGGATTGCTGATGGATTTTATCCCCCCCCCAGTCTCAGGACCCTCCCCCCACGATGTCCCTGGGGGTCTCGGTGCTCCACGAGCTCCTGCTCTTCTCGGCGCAGCTGCCCGAGCTGGCCCGGGACATCGGCACCAACCACATCCCCGGGCTGCTCACCTCCCTGCTGGCTCTCAGGCCTGAGGTGGGGCTTTGGGGGCTTTGGGGGCTTTGGGGGCTTTGGGGGCTCCAGGTGGGCTCAGGGGCTCTGGGGCACCAACCACATCCCGGGCTGCTCACCTCCCTGCTGGCTCTCAGACCCGAGGTGGGGGCTTTGGGGGCTTTGGGGGGCTCCAGGGGCTTGGGGGCTCCAGGGGGCTTTGGGGGCTCCAGGGGGTTTGGGGGCTCAGGGGGCTCCAGGGGGCTTTGGGGGCTCCAGGGGCTTTGGGGGCTCCAGGGGGTTTGGGGCACCAACCACATCCCCGGGCTGCTCACCTCCCTCCTGGCTCTCAGGCCCGAGGTGGGGGCTTTGGGGGCACAGGGGGCTTTGGGGGCTCCAGGGGGTTTGGGGGCTCCAGGGGCTCAGGGGGCTTTGGGGGCTCCAGGGGGTTTGGGGGCACCAACCACATCCCGGGCTGCTCACCTCCCTGCTGGCTCTCAGGCCAGAGGTGGGGGCACAGGGGGCTTTGGGGGCTCCAGGGGAATTTGGGAGGCTTCAGGGGGCTTTGGGGGCACCAACCACATCCCGGGCTGCTCACCTCTGCTGGCGCTCAGACCTGAGGTGGGGGGCACAGGGGGTTTGGGGGCTCCAGGGGGCTTTGGGGGCTCCAGGGGGCTTTGGGGGCTCCAGGGGCTTTGGGGGCTCTGGGGCACCAACCACATCCCCGGGCTGCTCACCTCCCTGCTGGCTCTCAGGCCAGAGGTGGGGGGTTTTGGGGGCTTTGGGGGCACAGGGGGCTTTGGGGGCTCCAGGGGGCTTTGGGGGCTCCAGGGGGCTCAGGGGTTTGGGGCACCAACCACATCCCCGGGCTGCTCACCTCCCTGCTGGCTCTCAGGCCCGAGGTGGGGGCTCCAGGGGGCTTTGGGGGCACAGGGGGCTTTGGGGGCTCCAGGGGGCTTTGGGGGCTCCAGGGGGTTTGGGGGCTCCAGGGGTTTGGGGGTGGGTTTGGGGAGGTTCTGGGGGTTTGGGGGATTTGGGGAGTTTGAAAGGGTTTGAGAGGGGTTAAAATGGGGATAAAGGGATAAAAAAGGTGAGTAAGGGAGTTTAAAAGGGGAAGTAAAAGGGCTTAAAAAGGGGCATAAAGGGGTTTAAAAGGAGGTAAAGGGGTTTAAAGGGAGGAGTAAAGGGGTTTAAAAGGGGGGGTAAAGGGGTTTAAAAGGGGGTGAAGGGTCTGGGGGGGTTAAAAAGAATTTTAGGGGGTCCCAGAGGGTCAAAGGGGGTCGGTTTTGGGGGCTCTGGGAGGGTTTTGGGGGGGTTAAAAGGGAGCTGAGGGGGGTTAAAAGGAGGGTAAAGGGAGCTGAAAGAGGATTCAAAAGGGTCTGGGGGCATCTTGGAAGGGTTTGAGGGGTTTGGGGGTATCTGGGGGAGTCCAAGGCCCCCCCAGACCCCCCAAAAATCCCCCCAGTGCGAGGTGTCCACCCTGGAGGGCATCAGGTCGTGCATGACCTTCTACCCCGGCGCCTGCGGCTCCATGAGGGTGAGACCCCCCCCCAAAACACCCTCCCCCACCCCCGGGGGGCATGTTGGGGGTCTGACCGCCCCTTTGTGCCCCCCTTTGTGCCCCCCCAGGGCAAACTGGCCGCTCATTTCCTGTCCCGCATCGACGCCGAGTCCCCCCGGCTGCAGCAGGTGGGGCTGGGGGACACCCCAAATTTGGGGGGTCCTGGGAGCCTCTGGGGGGGTCCCCAAAAATCTGGGGGGGTCCCCAAAAATCTGGGGGGGTCCTGGAAGGGTTTGGGCAGCTCTGGGGTGGTTTTTGGGCTTCCTGGCTCGGTTTTGGGGGCGGTCCCAGATCCATTTCTGGGGGGTGCCGGGTCGGGTTTTGGGGTTCCTGGGTGGGTTCTGGGGGGTTTTTTGGGGTCCCAGACCCATTTTTGGGGTCCTAAACCCATTTTTGGGGTCCCACACCCATTTTTGGGTGTCCTGCCCCCGTTTCCCAGCTGGCCTGTGAGTGCTATGCCCTGCTGCCGTCACTGGGTCAGGTTTGGGGTGTCCTGGACCCATTTTTGGTGTTCCTGGGTGGGTTCTGGGGGGGTTTTTTGGGGTCCCAAACCCATTTTTGGGATCCCAGACCCATTTTTGGGGGTCCCAAACCCATTTTTGGGGGTCCTGCCCCCGTTCCCCAGCTGGCCTGTGAGTGCTACGCCCTGCTACCATTGCTGGGTAGGTTTTGGGGGGGTTCCAGACCCATTTTTGGTGTTCCTGGGTGGGTTCTGGGGGGTTTTTTGGGGTCCCAAACCCATTTTTTGGGGTCCCACACTCATTTTTGGGTGTCCTGCCCCCGTTCCCCAGCTGGCCTGCGAGTGCTACGCCCTGCTGCCATCGCTGGGTCGGGTTTGGGGTGTCCTGGACCCATTTTTGGGGTTCCTGGGTGGGTTCTGGGGGGTTTTTCAGGGGTCCTGGACCCATTTTTGGGGGTCCCAAACCCATTTTTGGGGGTCCCAAACCCATTTTTGGGTGTCCTGCCCCCGTTCCCCAGCTGGCCTGTGAGTGCTATGCCCTGCTGCCGTCGCTGGGCCCGGGGTTCTCGCAGGGGCTGCGGCACACGGAGTGCTGGCAGCAGGAGCTGCAGGGGCTGCTGGCCACGCTGCACGCCCTGCTCGGAACCCTCTTCGAGGGCAGCGAGACAGGTGGGGCTGGGGGGCTGGGAGCTCAGGGGGTTTAAAGGGGTTTGGGGGTCCTGGGGGCTTTAAAGGGGATTTGAGGGGGATCTGAGAGGAATAAAGGGGTCTTTTGGGGGGCTTTGAGCGGTCTCAGGGGATTTAGGGTGTCTGGGGGGATTTGAGGTCTCAGGGGAGATCTGGGGGTTCTGGGGGGCATTTGGGCTCTCTGGGGGAGGTCTGTGGGGTTCATGTTGGGGTCTCTGGGGGGATTTGGGCTCTCTGAGGGGGCATTCAGGGGGTTCATTTTGGGCTGTCTGGGGGGATTTGGGGTCTCTGGGGCATGTCCAGGGTGTTAATTTTGGGCTCTGTCTCCCCCAGATCCCCTCCCGTACGAGGGTCCGGGGGTGGAGCTGCTGCTGCCCCCAGGACAGGGGACCCTGGGGGTCCTGACCCTCCACACCCGATTTTCGGGGCTCTGCCGCGTCCTCAGGAGCCTCCTCAGGTACCCCCTGACCCCTCCGGACCCCAAAACCCACCTGGGAACCCCCCCAAAACCCTCCTGGGACCCCCAAAACCTTCCTGGGACCCCCAAAACCCACCTGTGACCCCCCAAAACCTTCCTGGGACCCCCAAAACCCACCTGGGAACCCCCCCAAAATTTCCTGGGATGCCTCAAACCACCCCCAGTCCCTCCCAGTGCCCCCTGCCCCTCCCCAGTGCCCCCAGTGCCCCCTGACCCCCCTGTGCCCCTCCCAGCAAGGATTTCGTGGCCCCCGTGACGGTTCCAGTTCAGGACATTTTGGATCTCGTTTGTCGAGCCCTCAACGTCACCGCCAAGAACATCGTGAGTGAGGGGTTGTCACCCCAAAAACAGCCCTGAAACACCCCAAAAACACCCCAAAAACACCCCCAAAACGTCACCGCCAAGAACATCGTGAGTGAGGGGCTCTGCCCCCCAAAAACAGCCCTGAAACACCCCAAAAACACCCCAAAAACACCCCAAAAACACCCCCAAAACACCCCCAAAACGTCACCGCCAAGAACATCGTGAGTGAGGGGCTCTGCCCCCCAAAAACAGCCCTGAAACACCCCAAAAACACCCCCAAAAACACCCCCCAAAACACCCCAAAAACACCCCCAAAACACCCCCAAAACGTCACCACCAAGAACATCGTGAGTGAGGGGCTGTGCCTCCAAAAACACCCCAAAACCAGCCCTAAAACACCCCAAAAACACCCCAAAACCACACCTGGGACCCCAAAACCACCCCCAACCCTCTCCTGAGTCCCTTGGGACCCCCAAAACCCCCTCAAACCCCCCAAACCACCCCGGGACCTCCCAAGACCCCCCAAAACCACTCCTGGGACCCCCAAAATCCCCTCTGGGGCCCCTAAACCCCCCCCCCAGTCCCTCCCAGTCCCAAACTGGTCTCTGTTCCCCCAGAACTGGTTTGGGGAGGGGTCCCTGCGGTTGCTGCTCCTGCCCCCAGTCCCTCCCAGTCCCTCCCAGTCCCAAACTGGTCTGTGTGCCCCCAGAACTGGTTTGGGGAGGGGTCCCTGCGGTTGCTGCTCCTGCCCTCGGTTCACCTGGACGTGCTGGACCTGCTGGGGGGGCTCATCCTGGCGTGAGCACTGGGGGACTGGGAGGGACTGGGAGCACTGGGAGGGGCATTAGGAGACACTGGGAGGCACTGAGAGGGACTGGGAGGAACTGGGAGGGACTGGGAGGCACTGGGAGGGGATTTGGGGGCACTGGGAGAGACTGGGATGGGTTTGGGAGGGGATCTGGTAGAACTGGGAGGAACATTAGAGGAGACTGGGAAGGGATTGGGGCAAACTGGGATGGACTGGAACAAACTGGGAGGAAGATTGGGGGGCACTGGGAGGCACTGGGAGGGGACTGGGGAGGCTCTGGGATTCCTTGAGATTTGGGGCTGTTTTGGTTGATCCGGGTGGGTTTTTGGGGGTTTTTTGGGGGGTTTTTTGGGGGGGTTTTGGGGTTTTTTGGGTATCCCCGGATTTTGGGGGCGCCCCCCTGACCCCCCCCGTGCCCCCCCAGGTGTGGGGCCCGCCTGGTCCGTTGGGGGTCCGTGCTGGGCCGGCTCTTCCCGCAGGTTCTGAGCGCCTGGAGCTGCCGGGGGGACCCCCAGAACGGGGGGGGGCCCGGCCAGGAGAGACCCTTCGGGTACGGGGGCTGAGACCCCCAAAGTGGGGACGGGGGCTGAGACCCCCAAAATGGGGATGGGGGGAGAGACCCCCAAAATGGGGATGGGGGCTGAGACCCCCAAAATGGGGATGAGGGTGAGACCCCAAATATGGGGATGGGGGCTGAGACCCCCAAAATGGGGATGGGGGGAGAGACCCCAAAATGGGGATGGGGCTGAGGAGCCCCCAAAATGGGAAGGGGGTTAGAGGAGCCCTAGAGGGATTGGGGGAGTCCCTGGCGATGGGGCTGGAGACCCCTAAGGATAGGAGATTGGGAGGGTCTGGAGACCCCCAAAATGGAAGGGATGAGACCCCCAAAATGGGGATGGGGGAGCAGACCCCAAATGGGGATGGGAGACCCCAAAATGGGGAGGGGCACTGAGACCCCAAAATGGGGATGGGGAGAGACCCCCAAATTTGGGGATGGAGGGCTGAGACCCCAAAATTGGGGATGGGGGGATGAGACCCCTTTGGGGCAATGGGGGCTGAGACTCCCAAAATTGGGGATGGGGGCTGAGACCCCAAAATGGGATGGGGAGAGACCCTCCTCGGGACGGAGGGCTAGAGACCCCAAAATGGGGATGGGGGCTGAGACCCCAAAATGGGGATGGGGAGAGACCCTTCGGAGTGCGGGGCTGAGACCCCAAAATGGGGATGGGGGAGAGACCCCAAAATGGGGATGGGGAGAACCCAAATATGGGGAGGGGGCAGAGACCCCAAAATGGGGACGGGGCTGAGACCCCAAAATGGGGATGGGGAGGAGACCCCAAAATGGGGATGGGGGCTGAGACCCCAAAATGGGGATGGGGGAGAACCCAAATATGGGGATGGGGGCTGAGACCCCCAAAATGGGGATGGGGGCTGAGACCCCCAAAATGGGGATGGGAGCTGAGACCCCCAAAATGGGGACGGGGGCTGAGACCCCCAAAATGGGGATGGGGGCTGAGACCCCCAAAATGGGGACGGGGCTGAGACCCCAAAATGGGGGCAGGGGCGTTGGGGAGGATTTGGGGAGTCCTGGGAGGGTTTTGGGGGTCCTGGGGGGAATTTGGGGATCCCTGAGAGGATTTGGGAGGGTTTGGAGGCTCCCTGGAAGGGGTTGGGGAGGACTTGGGTGAGTTTGGGGTCTGTGGGGGGGTTGGGGTGGTTTTGGGGTGTTTGGGGTGGTTTTGGGGTGTTTGGGGTGGTTTAGGGGGTTTGGGGGTTTTGGGGTGGTTTGGAGGGTTTTGGGGGTTTTGGGGTCCCTGAGCTGATTTTGGGGTCCCCCAGGGCGGTGAGGGCCCGTTTGTACCGGGTGCTGGAGCTGTGGGTTCAGGGGGTTTGGGGGTCTGTGGGGGGTTTTGGGGGTTGGGTTTTGGGGGTTTTGGGGTCCCTGAGCCCATTTTGGGGTCCCCCAGGGCGGTGAGGGCCCGTGTGTACCGGGTGCTGGAGCTGTGGGTTCAGGGGGGGTTTGGGGGTCTGTGAGGGGTTTTGGGTGGTTTGCGGTTTTGGGGTGGTTTTGGGGTTTTGGGGTCCCTGAGCCCATTTTGGGGTCCCCCAGGGCGGTGAGGGCCCGTGTGTACCGGGTGCTGGAGCTGTGGGTTCAGGTGGCCGGGGCAGCCTCGGGGGTCCTGCAGGGCCCCGGGACCCCCGGGGAGCTGCTCTTGGCCCACCTGCTCGGGGACATCGCCCCCCCAACCGAGGCCACCAAGGTGAGACCCCCAAAATATCCCCCTGGACCCCCAAAAAATCCCCCTGGACCCCCAAAATATACCCCTGGACCCTTAAAATATCCCCTGGACCCCAGAAATATCCCCTGATCACAAAATATCCCCCTGGATCACAAAATATCCCCTGACCCCCAGAAATATCCCCTGACCCCCAAAACATCCCCCTGGGCCCCTAGAAATATCCCCTGATCACAAAATATCCCCTGATCACAAAATATCCCCTGGACCCCCAAAAATCCCCTGGACCCCCAGAAATATCCCCCTGGACCCCCAAAATATTTTCCTGGATCACAAAATATTCCTGGATCCCAACACCCCCCGCCCCCGCAAAAACCATCCTGGACCCCCAACCCCACCTCAACCCCCTGTGCTGAGGCCACCAAAACCCCCCAGACTCCAAAATATCTCCCTGGATCCCAAACCCCCACCCTAAAACCATCCTGGACCCCCAACCCCCCAGCCTCCTGCCAAGGTCACCAAGGTTGGACCCCAAAATATCCTCCAGGATCCCCAACCCCCTAAACCCCCAGACCCCCTCCTTGGACCCCCAACCCCACTCCTGGACCCCCAACCCCCTCCCTGGACCCCTCAACCCCACCTCTGGACCCCCCTGACCCCTCCCTTTGTCGGCAGCTCCGGGGGGACCCCAAACCCAGCGCCCCCAAACGCCCCAAACTGGGGGAGGGGCCGGACGGGCCCCCCCTGCACAGGAAGGGGGAACCTGCGGCCAACAGCGACACCTGCAAGGCAGCCCTGGCAGGTACTGACCCCAAACCACCCCAAATCACTCCAAATCACCCCAAATCACCTCAAAATCCACCCCAAAATCCACCCTGGGACCCTCAGAAACCCCCAACACACCCCTGGGAAACCCCAAATCCACCCCGGGACCCCCAACAGCGACACCTGCAAGGCAGCCCTGGCAGGTACTGACCCCAAACCACCCCAAATCACCCCAAATCACCTCAAAATCCACCCCAAAATCCACCCTGGGACCCCCAGAAACCCCCAACACACCCCTGGGACCCTCAAACCCCCCCTGGGACCCCCCAACAGCGACCCCTGCAAGGCAGCCCTGGCAGGTACCGACCCAAAACCACCCCAAAATCCACCCTGGGAAACCCCAAATCCACCCCGGGACCCCCCAACAGCGACACCTGCAAGGCAGCCCTGGCAGGTACCGACCCAAAACCACCCCAAATCACCCCAAAACCCACCCTGGGAACCCCAAAATCCACCCTGGGAAACCCCAAATCCACCCTGGGAACCCCAAAATCCACCCTGGGACCTCCAGAAACCCCCAACACACCCCTGGGAAACCCCAAATGCACCCCGGGACCCCCCAGCAGCGACACCTGCAAGGCAGCCCTGGCAGGTACCCACCCCAAATCACCCCAAAACCCACCCTGGGAACCCCAAATCACCCCAAAATCCACCCTGGGAAACCCCAAATCCACCCCGGGACCCCCCAACAGCGACACCTGCAAGGCAGCCCTGGCAGGTACCGACCCCAAACCACCCCAAATCACCCCAAAATCCACCCCAAAATCCATCCTGGGACCCCCAGAAACCCCCAACACACCCCTGGGACCCTCAAACCCCCCCTGGGACCCCCCAACAGCGACACCTGCAAGGCAGCCCTGGCAGGTACTGACCCCAAACCACCCCAAAATCCACCCTGGGAACCCCAAAATCCATCCTGGGAACCCCAGAACCCCCCAACACACCCCTGGGACCCTCAAACCCCCCCTAGGACCCCCCAACAGTGACTCCTGCAAGGCAGCCCTGGCAGGTACCGACCCCAAACTACCCCAAATCACCCCAAAATCCACCCTGGGAACCCCAAAATCCACCCTGGGACCCCCAGAAACCCCCAACACACCCCTGGGACCCTCAAACCCCCCCTGGGATCCCCAAAACCCACCCTGAGACCCCCAAAATTCCCCTCCCGGACCCCAAAGTCCACCCCTGGGCTCCCCCAAAACTGACCCTGGGGGGATCAGGAAGGGGGGGACCCCCAAAATTGACCCTGGGGGGATCAGGGGAAGGGGGGGACCCCCAAAATTGACCCTGGGGGTGTCAGGGGTGGGGTGGGACCCCCAAAATTGACCCTGGGGTGTCAGGGTGGGGTGGGACCCCAAAATTGCCCCTGGGGGTCAGGGAAGGGTGGGACCCCAAAACTGCTCCTGGGGGTCAGGAAAGGGTGGGACCCCCAAAATTGACCCTGGGGGTCAGGGAGGGGACCCCCAAATTAGCTGTCTCCCCCAGCCCTGCGCAGGATCATCCTCACGGGGGGGCCGCTCATCAAGGAGGAGACGCATCGGGTGAGGATTGGGGGCTGGGGCAAATTTGGGGGCTGGGGTGGTAATTTTGGGGGTTTGGGGGTAAATTTGGGGCTTCCACGGGGGGCAAATTGATTGGGGGCAAACTTGAGGGGTTGGAGGGTGAATTTTGGGGGTCCTGGGAAGGGGGCAAGGTTATTTTGGGGGGTCTGATTTCTGTTGGGGGTTCAGGGTTGCTTGGGGGCAGGATGATTTGGGGACTCAGGATGATTTGGGGGTTCAGGTTATTTGGGGGTCAGGATGATTTGGGGTCAGGATGATTTGGGGGTCTCTAACCCCTTTTGCCCCCCAGCGGCTGCAGGAGCTGGTGGTCCCTGGGGGTTCAGGTTATTTGGGGGCTCAGATGATTTGGGGGTCAGGTTATTTGGGGGCTCAGGATGATTGGGGGGTCAGTTGGGTCAGGTGATTTGGGGGCCAGGATGATTTGGGGGTCAGGATGATTTGGGGGTGGTCTCCAACTCCCCTTTGCCCCCAGCGGCTGCAGGAGCTGGTGGTCACCCTGGGGGATCAGGGTTATTTGGGGGAGGTTCAGGGTTATTTGGGGGGGGTCAGGGTTATTTGGGGGGCTCAGGATGATTTGGGGGTCAGGGTTATTTGGGGGTCAGGATGATTTTGGGGTGGTCTCTAACCCCCTCTCCCCCCAGCGGCTGCAGGAGCTGGTGGTCCCCTGGGGGATCAGGGTTATTTGGGGGGGTCAGGATGATTTTGGGGTGGTCTCTAACCCCCCCTTTTCCCCCAGCGGCTGCAGGAGCTGGTGGTCCCCCTGGCCCTTCGGCTGCCTCAGAGCGAAGCCCCCGGGCCTCTCCCCGGGGCCCCCGCGCCCCCGGGCTCCCCTACGCCCACCCCCAGTGCCGGGGGCTGTACCAGCTGCTGCTCGCCCTCGTGCTGGGACCCCCCGGGGCTGCCTCCCCTGCACTGCGCCCTGAGAGCCTTCATCCAGGGACAGAGGGACCCTGATGTACAGGTGAGACCCCAAAATAACCCAAAATTAACCCAAAATACCCCAAAAACCATCCTGGGACCCCCATAAACCCTCCTGAGACCCCCTGGGACTGCCCCCCTGCACTGCGCCCTGAGAGCCTTCATCCAGGGACAGAGGGACCCTGACGTGCAGGTGAGACCCCAAAAACACCCCAAATTAACCCAAATTAACCCAAAACCCCCTGGGACCCCCACCCCAGGGCTGCCCCCTGCACTGCGCCCTGAGAGCCTTCATCCAGGGACAGAGGGACCCTGACGTGCAGGTGAGACCCCAAAATAACCCAAATTAACCCAAAAACCCCTGGGATCCCCCCGGGCTGCTCCCCCCCTGCACTGCGCCCTGAGAGCCTTCATCCAGGGACAGAGGGACCCTGACGTGCAGGTGAGACCCCAAAAACATCCCAAATTAACCCCAAATAACCCAAAATAACCCAAAACCCCCTGAGACCCCCCGGGGCTGCCCCCCCTGCACTGCGCCCTGAGAGCCTTCATCCAGGGACAGAGGGACCCTGACGTGCAGGTGAGACCCCAAAAACACCCCAAATTAACCCAAATTAACCCAAAACCCCCTGGGACCCCCTGGGGCTGCCCCCCCTGCACTGCGCCCTGAGAGCCTTCATCCAGGGACAGAGGGACCCTGATGTGCAGGTGAGACCCCAAAACACCCCAAATTAACCCAAAATCCACTCCAGGACCCCCTAACCCCCCCAGGACCTGTCACAGGGACCCCCCAGCCCCCTAACCCCGCTTTTGCCCCCCAGGACCTGTCACAGGGACCCCTCCCCAGCCCCCTAACCCCATTTTTGCCCCCAGGACCTGTCACAGGGACCCTCCCCAGCCCCCCCAGGACCTGTCACAGGGACCCCCAGCCCCCTAATCCCCCCAGGACCTGTCACAGGACCCTTCCCAGCCCCCTAACTCCATTTTTGCCCCCCAGGACCTGTCACAGGGACCCCAACCCCTCCTAACGCCCCCCCAGGACCTGTCACAGGGACCCCCAGCCCCCTAACCCCATTTTTGCCCCCTCCCCGCAGGTCTCCTCCATCTGCAGCGAGGCCCTGGTGGTCTGCAACGCCCTGGCCCGGCCCTGGGTGCCCCCTGCACCCCCCGACCCCCGGGCGCCCCCGACCCCCCGCGCCCCTTTCCGCCCTCCCCCGGCCCCCCAAAGCCCCCCGCGCCCCCCTGCTGCTGCCCTCCCTGGGCCCCCTCCCCGGCCAACCCCCTGGGGGCTTCGGGACGCGGAGGCCGCCCGCCCCCGGGCGGGCTCGGGGAGGAGGCGGGGGCGCGGGGTCCTGCCCCGCCGCCCCGTGTTCGTGCACTACGAGCGGGAGGAGCCGTCGGACGTGGAGATCTCCCTGGAGAGCGACTCGGACGACTCCGTGGTCATCGTGCCCAAAAACCCGCGGGGCCCGAGCCCCCGCGCCCCCAGCCCCCAGCCCACCCCCAGCAGCAGCCCCCGCCCTGCCCCCTGCCGCCCTCTCCCCGCCCCCCCGCCGCCCCCACGCCCCCCGCAGCCCCCCTGTGCTCCGCCCTCCCCACGGAGACCCCGAGGAGCCCGGGCCGCCTCCGGCCCCTCGCGCCCTCCCCCCCAGATGATGGGGGCCCAGATGGGACCCCCCCCGAGGGACGGGGGGGAGGGGCCCGACCCCGCCGTCATCAACATCAACTCCAGCGAGGAGGAGGAGGAGGAGGAGGAGGACGAGGAGGAGTTCGGGGACGAGGAGGAGGAGGAGGAGGAGGAGGAAGAAGAGGAGTTCTTCGAGGAGGAGGAGGAGGAAGAGTTTGAGGAGGAGGAGGAGGAAGAGCTGGAGGGGGAGGAGGAGGAGGAAGAGTTCGAGGAGGAGGAGGAGGAAGAGTTCGAGGAAGGGATCTCCGAGGAGGAGGAAGAAGAGGAGGAGGAGGAGGATGAGGAAGGGAGGGCGGGGGTCGAGGAAGGCCCGGGGTCCCGAGCCCCCGGCGCTGGGAGGGGCGGACACGGGGGTGCTGCTGATGGAGGTGGAGGAAGGACCCCGCCCCTCCCCCCGCCGCTCCCCGCCCCCTCCCCGAGGAGGAGGAGGAGGAGGAGGAAGGAGCCAAACCCCCTGAGCCCCCTGAGGTTCCCACCCCCTGGGACCCCCGGAGCCGCCCCCCCGAGCCCCCCCGGTCCTGGAGACCCCCGAGCCCCCGCGACGGGGCTGCCCCTCCCCGCCCTAGAGGCCGCCCTCCCCACCCGAGCCCCCTGCCCCTCCCCCGCAAAGCCCCGAGACCCCCGGGGGCTGCAGCCCTCCCCACCCCTGCCCCCTGGCTCCAGGAGGAGCCCCCGGGACCCCGGCCAAGGACGAGGTGAGGGGCGCTGGGGGTTTGGGGGGCTGGGGCACTTTGGGGGATTTTGGGTGGATTTGGGGGCTTTGGGGGCTTTGGGGGAGTGTCAATTTTGGGGGGTGGATTTGGGGTCTCTGAGCGAGGGGGCTCAGTTTGGGACCCTCCCCAGGAGCCGGACGAGACGACATCGATGTTGGCCGATTTCATCGACTGCCCCCGACGACGAGAAGACCCCGAGACCCCCTGTGACCCCTCCCCAGGACCCCCAAATACCCCAAAACTCCCTTTTTGGATTTTTTTTTTTTTTTACCTCAATAAACGGAATTTCCCCTCATTAAAGGTTTCAAAATCCCCCCTAAACGACCCCCTTGGACCCCCAAATCCCTCCCCAGGACCCCCAAACTCTCCCTCTAAACTGCCCCAAATCCCCCCTTGGACCCCCAAATCCCCCCCAGGACCCCCAACTCTCAGTCCCCAGAATGCCTCCAATCCCTCCCAATCAAACCCCTTTCAGCCCAAATCGCCCTCGGATCCCCCAAACTGCCCCAAATCCCCCAAACTGCCCCCCAAAAACCCCAAATTCCCCCTGGGGCCCCCCTTGGTCCTCCACTCCGCCAGGGGGCGCCGTGGAGTTTGTGGCTCTCACTTTCCCGCGCCCAGAGGGCGCCGCCATGTTGGCTCGCTGAGGGAGGAGCCGCCGCCATGTTGGAGCCCCGGCCATGAAGCCGCCGGGGCGGCCCCGCCTCGTCCCGTCGCGGTTCGCGGAGGCCCCGCAGGGCCCCGGGCGGGGCCCCGGGAGGCCGTGGGGGCAGCGGGAGAAGCGGGCGCTGCTGGCGGCGCTGCGGGCGCGGGAGGCGCCGCTCGGGCCCCTCGAGGCGCTGCCGCTGAGGGCGCTCCGGGAGCGGCTGCCCCGCAGGAGCGAGGCCGAGGTGGGCGCGGCGGGAAGGGGGAGAGACCCCCCAAAAACTGCCCCCTTAGGGACCCCCAGACATCACTCAGGGAACCCCCAACCCGACCCTTTGGGGACCCCCAAACTGCCCCGGGAACCCCCCCTCAGGGACCCCTCCCAAAATCAGCCCCTTCGGGGATCGAGGAGCCCCCAGAATCCTCCCCCACGGACCCCCAGAACTGTCCCTTCAGGGACCCCCGAGACCCCTCAAATCCCCCCTCAGGGACCCCACAGATTGTCCCCTGAAGAACCCTCCAAATCCTCCCCTTACGGACCCCCATAACCCTCCTTAGGGACCCCCCAAAATGCCCCAAACTCCCCCTTCAGGGACCCTCCCCAAAGCCTCCCACATTTTTGGGGGTCCCTGAGGGGGCTTTTGGGGGGGGGATCCCCGATTTTGGGGGGCACTTTTAGGGAGGGGGGAGGTTCCTGGGGGGGGTGTTAGGGGGATCCCCAGTTTTCAGAGGCAATTTTTCGGAGGCTGCCCAGGATTTGGGGGTGGTCCCACCTCCCTGGGGGTCTCCACCCCCCAGCCCCCTCCCTGACCCCCAAATTCCTCCACCCCCTCCCAGATCCGGGCGTTCCTGGTGCGGCTCCGGGGCCGGGCGGCTCGGGAGGCCCTGACGGCCAAATTTGGGACCTGCCTGAGGCTCCAGCGCCGGCTCCGCGCCCCCATCCAGGTCTGGGGGTCTCTGGAGGGTTTTGGGCGGGCTTTGGGGGTCCCTGGGAGGGATTTGGGGGATCCTTTGGGGTTGGGGGGGTCTCAGGGGTCTTTTGGGGCTGATTTGGGGGGGTCTCAGATGGATTTTGGGGTCCCCTGGGCTGATTTGGGGGGGTCTCAGATGGATTTTGGGGTCCCCTGGGCTGATTTGGGGGGGTCTCAGATGGATTTGGGGGGTCCCAGGGGGATTTGGGGGCTGATTTTTGGGGTCTCTCCCCCCAGGTGTGGCAGGAGCTGGCACAGACCCTCGGGGGGGGTCTCGAGGGAGCCACTGGAGCCGCCTTCTCTCAGGTCAGGGGTGCTGGGGGGCCCAGGGTGGTCCTGACCCCATTCTGGGGCTCTTGGGGCCATTTTGGGGATCTTGGAGCTGTTTCTGGGGGTTTGGGGGCCATTCTGGGGGGTCCTGCCCCCATTGTGGGGGTCTCCCCCTCCCTGCGCCCCTATTTTGGGGGGTGGGGTCACCCCAAACCCCCCCCATGACCCCCCGATGCCCCCCAGGTCCTGACGGTGGCAGCCACGGAGCCCCTGACCCTGCAGCACTCCCCGCCCCTCCCCTGCCTCTGGGGACCCCCTCGGACTCCCCCCGCAATTTGGGGACCCCCGGACCTCCCCCGGCTTTGGGGCCCCCCGAGCTCCGGGACCCCCAAATCCGGAGCCTTTCAGCGTCGATTTCCGGAGGGTCTACGAGTTCCTGGCCCGGCTGGCGGGGGCGGAGGGACCCCCCCTGAGCCCCCCAGGTGAGCCCCGAATTGGGGGCAAAAACTGGGGGGGCCAAATTTGGGAGGGGAGTGGGGGGTTACTTTGAGGGTCCTGGCCCCATTCTGGGGGGTCTTGGGGCCGTTCTGGGGGGATTTGGGGCTGTTTTATGGGGGTTTGGGGCCGTTTTGGGGTTCCCTCCCTGTTTTGGGGTCCTGACCCCGTGTCCGGGGGTCTCCCCCCGTCCCCCCCAGAGGCCGCCGTGCTCGTGTCCTTACTGGGAGCCCTCCCGGCCGAACTGGGAGCACTGGAGCAGCTCCGGGGCCTCCAGAGCCACTTCCGGGGGGTCTTCGGGGCCCTGACGACCCCCCAAAACCCGGGGGGGACCCCCCAGGACCCCCCAAAAGCCCCGTGGGCGGGGGTGGGGCTGTGCCCCCTCAACCTCTTCCTGGTGCCCCTGGGGGCCCTGGGGCGGGCAGGGTGAGGGGGGACCCCAAAATCGGGGGGGGACCCCAAAATCTGGGGGGTACCCCAAATGGTGAGGGGGGACCCCAAATGTTGAGAGGGGACCCCAAATGGTGAGGGGGGAACCCAAATACTGAGGGGGGATCCCAAATACTGAGGGGGGACCCCAAATGTTGGATGGACCCCAAAATCTGATGGGGATCCTAAACCTGGTGGGGGGGCCCAAATTCCAGAGGGGACCCCAAATGCCAGGGGGGGACCCCAAAATCTGGAGGGACCCGAAGGGGTGGACCCCAAATTCCTTGGGGTGGGTTCCTGAATCCCGGGGGGGACCCCAATATTCAGGGGGGATCCCAAATTGGGGCGGGTCCCAGTTCACGGGAGGGGACCCCAGATTTGGGTGGGCTCCCCAAATTCCTGGGGGAGACCCCAGATACTTGAGGTGGGGGGCTCAGGAGGGGCCGAAATCTGGGGGGACCCCTCCCCTCGCCCCCCGCGTTTTGGACAGGGAGGAAATAAACGCTTTGAATTGCCCAAAATTGGGGTGTTTTGGGGTCGTTTGGGCAGTGGGATAAAGGTGGGGCGGGAGTCGGAACTGGGATGGACTGGGAAAGTTCTGTGAGGCTTTGGGATGGTCTGGGAAAGGTCTGTGAGGCTTTTGGAAGGGACTGGAGTAAACTGGGAAGGGACTGGGATGGACTGGGAGGCACCATCTGGGCCCCCGCCCCCCCCCGCCCCCCGGAATGGTCCGCTCCGCTCCCAGCGCTGGCCCCGCCCCTTTGGCCGCGGGTCACGTGGCCTGCTCTGTTTACCCCGCGGCCCCGCCCGGCACGTGACGCGCCCCCTCCCCGCGCGCTGGTGACGTCACTCACGTGACGGGCCGCAGCACCACCGGATCCTTCCGCGCCTCCGCCCCGGGGGCTCCCCGGGACCCTCCCGGGAACGGGACCCCCCCCCGAGACCTCCGGGACATCCCGGGGACCCCTCTGGAACCCCCCCCGGGGATCGGGACATCCCGGGGACCCCCTGAAACCCCCCCGGGGATCGGGACACCAAAATCCCACCGCTGGCATGAACTGGGCTGTGTTAGGAG